CGCGTGGTCCAACGACTTTTGCCGTGACAGGCGTATCGACCTCCTGCTGGCCGTTTTGCTGACTTGCAGCGCGATACCTGTCCTTCGTCACGAACGGCTTCTCGGGGATCCCGACTCTTCACGAGAGACCAGTATGATCGGAGGCGTTCCGTCGCTCTATGAAGACAAGCGACATCTTGTGCGTGAGCTCTAGGCCTCCTGGTGTTCTCTGCTGACTCTGTCTTAGGCATGAGATCGACGATATGTGTGGATTACTCAAGTTGATGTTGTTTCCGTATGACTTACTGTTTTTCAGTGGGGTCCTCGAGCCCATGAATGCCGGTTTCTCGCTGACTGACCCAGCGACCCAAGGTACCAGTACATCACCTCTCTCCGCCAGCGGTACGGGGAATTCTGCATGATGCGTCGCAATCGTTGCTGCTGCAAGGGAAGCGAACACTGTCGATCCGGTTGAGGCACTGGTGAGCCCGAGTATACGCGTCCGCTTTCTGTCGCTCAAGTCTGTGGCGGTCGAAGCCATACGTGTCTATATGTTGGACTATGGAGATAGCAAGGATGGGTCACGGGTTTCTCTTGTCTGACACGTTCCTCGGCTGACATGTCCCGCAGTTACTTCGCGAACGAGAAGAAATACGAGACAGGTGAGGACCGCGTGTTCCCCGAGTGGCAGGTGCTGATAAGCCGCAGAGAAAAACATAGCCCGGCATTTCGCCAAGCAGAAAGTGTGGCCCAGATCCGTGTGGATCCGCCGTGCGAGATTCTACCACTCCGCGCGTCTGCGGTGGAACTCGATCGAGAGGTTGCGGGGGCCGCTCGAGAATGCGCTGATCGACGATCTGGTCGAGTGGTCGCTTTCGAATTACGCGACGATCCGTCGTACAGCCAAGACGTGCTGGACTCGGTTTCTGCGGTGTACGATGGGGTCCGGCGCCGCGCGCTGCCGAAGCTGTATAGCGCCCTCGCCCCCGGGACCGATGATGATCGGATGAAGGGTGAAGCCACAGTACCCCCGTAAACATCGGCCTGCTGCTGAGCCAGTCGTTCAGGTGCTTTGTGGACGCTGAATCTGATGTCCTTTGGGAAGTATGCTGCAGGAGAAGTCACCTTAGCCCCGCAACTCATCGAAAAGCTGTTCGCTTGTCAGCACAACGAAAAGCCCTCCATCCAAGATGCTGTATCGACTGTTGCGGAGAACTGTAGGCCGCTTTTGTCAACTGGGACCACTGACTTGACCGCACGACAGGCCTGAACAGTCTGAGCGAGGCCTCTGATCTCGTCTACAAGCTCGAGAACAAAACATTGGATGCCATCCTTGCTGAGAGACAATTGGACAAGGCCGAGCTTGCCCTAGCGCGTCGTTGTGAACAAAACAGACTCGAACGCTCTCGTGTGTCGAATGAAGCGTCAAAGGAACTGGTTCGTACCTTCTTCCGAACCAAATCTCGCGCGCAGGACTGATGCCGCCCCTACCATTCCAGGTCAGGACCCTCCTCGCCATCGGCAATTCCTCCAAAACGCACTGGAAGTACGAGATTGCCGCTATCCGATGTCTCCGTGCGATCATCCGCCGGGACGTGCCTACTAGCGCCGAGCAAATCGGTTCTTCATGCACAAGACATACGACAGCAATCCCAATCTACGATACGTGGGTTCAAGTGGTTCCGAATCCATTGCCGTGTTTGATTGTCCTCCAGTATGCCCAACGAGCAGCGATGAAGTGCATGCGCTTCGTCAAACTCCGCTCTTATTGCCCGACTCCCAAAGACCTTATCCTCGGAAATGCGTCAATCCGCTGAAACAATCACTCCCGGTCCAGCCCACCCCGGATCTGGCACGTAACTATCTAACAGCGTACACCCAACCGCTTGACCTGGATCGGATCGGTGATCGCGGGCATGTTTATATGATTGGTATCCTTGAATGACGACTCACTGGTGCTGCAGAGTGTACTTGGACAAGGACCCCGCGCCGGGCTGGCTTGCCTGGGGCGACTCGGTCACCCTGTGCCGGGTGCCGGACCGGGTGAAGTCGACGTTCTTGCCGTGGGAACGCGGGAGCGATGCCTTTGTGGGCGTCGTGCGCGAGCTGGCGACGTCGAAGGCGTTTGGGAGCAGCTGTCCGTCTATTTCGGCGAGGAGAACCACGAGTCGACGATCGTCATCGACAATGTGTCGTATGTCAAGTCCATCTGTGAGTCCTCGGCAGTCATCAGTCGCAGCAGCAGCGACGACCCGGCTGACTCGCGCCAGTCCAGCTGCTTGAGGACGAGCCGTTCGAGGCCCTGCAGCCGGTGCTGTACAAGCTGCTCGACGAGAAGGAGCTGGACAAGCAGCGCGCGCTGGCGGAGTTCACCGCCGGCGTCATCGGGGGTCGAAGCACTGGCCGATGGACAAGCAGGACGCGCTCTGGGTGTGGTTCAAGCCGGTGATCGTCGATGCGTTCAGCCAGAAGCTGAAAACGGATACGGTCTCGATCTGGCAATCGCTTATCGAGGTGGGTTGTTCTCCCTCGACGACCACCGAGAGAGTCAAAGGCTGAACCTGCCGTGTGTGCAGTACCTGTTCCAGAACAAGGACCCGCGTCGTCTCCAGCCGTTGGTGGATCACATCATGGAGCTTTGGACGCAGCTGGACTTCCAGCCCGAGCTCGCATTTGATGCCACCAAGTACTTGTCCATCTTCAAATCGTTCTATCGTGAATTGAACTGGAAATTCCTGGGTGCATTCCGGTTTGAGTCTAAGCGCAAATCAGTGGCTGACTTTTTTTTTACTACAGGATGGACAGACCAAGCGGTAGAACGGTACTGGAAACAGCTGGAAGTCAACGAGCACGAGGACGTCCGCGCCTTCATCGCCGATATCCTGCTCTTCTCCAACAGAATCAAGTCATCGCCGCGCCCGTCCTGTCCCTCGACCGAAGTGTTCGTCAGAGAATGCCGGACGTTGCCGGTCAGCTACGACATCATGGGCATGCGCGGGATGTACCACATGGATCGCTTCACCGAGCTCGTCGGCAAGTTCCATGTCTGGCGGGAGGAGCGGGTGTCCGGCGTGCGCGCTTTCCAGTCTACCTACGACAGAGTCGGCATCACGATCTGCAAGTTCCTGTTCCAGCTGCTGCTGAATACCTCGGCCAGCGCTGTGTTCGACTATGTCCTTCCTCTGATGGCAAGTTCTGGCATGCTCACAGCCGTGTCTGATGCTGACGATCCTGACACCGCAGCCAGAGCTGTTCAGGTTCACAGAGCGTATGTGGTTCATTTTATAAGACGATCCTCCATGTAGCTGACACGAGCGCAGTGAATGATAACCAGGATCTGGCCACCAGAGCCAACGATGTGCTCGTTCAGATGTGTGGTGTGACTGTTCCTGTCCCGTTGATCAATCCCTTGATCGACGGGATATTCGAGTCCATTCGCAACTCCCCAGTGCGTGCGACCAACTCTGGGTGTCATCTGGATTAACGGCTTGGGTTGCAGTCGTGGAAGGTCCGGTTGAAGGCGATCCCTCTCATCCAAAGTACGACTTGCCCATGCGCTGGAGAGAGACCGGGCTGACGACTATGCTGCAGTCTTCTATTTCCGTCAACTGCCTCTGATCTCAGACGGAAAGCTGATTGAGATGCTCGAGGTGAGTGTCCAGCCGTCAGAGCCTGGAGGAGAAAGCATGATCGGCCGCTAGGTTCTGTGCCAATGTCTGGACGACGAGGTCATCAACGTTCGAGAAATGGCAGCTACGTAAGACCTTTGTTTATGATCCCCGGTCCGGGATCGATGCTGAATGCGAGATAGGACGTTGTCAGGGATTCTGCGTCTCTCGCCCCGCAGACACATCCTCACACTCCGCGACCGCTTCGTTCAGCTGATCAAGAAGAGTCACATCCCGCCGCGCTCGGATCCTGCATACGCGAAGAGCCTGCGCCAGCGCCATGCCGCTATTCTGGGCGTCTGTGCCTTGGTCGATAGTGTTCCCTACACGGTGGAGAAGTGGACCCCGGATCTGCTGACTAACGTCCTCGCTGAACACACCTATGATCCCGTGCGATCCATTTCTTCCTGTGACAAGTGGTTATTGATCGAGTTTATGCAGGCTCCCATCTCAACAACTGTGCGCAAGTGTGCGCGTAACTTTAGTCGCACCCACCGAGGTTAGTCTTGATTGAATATGATGATCTCAGATTAACCTGTTCATCGGCAGATACGTGGCACGAAGATTCAGCCCGGTTCGATGAGTCCCAGCTGGCAGCGCTGTCCACATTGCTTACCGGATCATCATACTGTACGTCCCCTTGCAACATGCGGGAACGTGCGGGTTGATCACATTGTCCAGATGCCTAATGCACGAAGGAATGAAGGAAGGAAGCCATTGTACGAGTATAATTCAGTAGGAGCACACGCTAATCTAGTCGCATTCCGCCATGCTTTCGAATATCTTTGCAATCAATAACCATCGCTTACGTCATGTTTCCTTCCGTCCATCAGCTCGCGTTCTAGACCCACGGGCGAGTCTCGTGAAAATCAATGTTGCATTCTACGTCGTAGATATCTGCGCGTCGCGCCGGGGTCGACGCGGATAGCGCGCTCCAAGCCCCTGCAACCATACCTGCAGCTCGCCATCGACCGCCCTGGTGTCAAGCCGCGCGTTATCTTATCTGCGCCCGTCATGAGTCATCACGAGACCCAATTCTTTTCGCTGCTGTCGCGCATACAGCTGACTTCGCCTTGCTCTCCTCCTCCTCCTCCTCCTCCTACCTCATGTTACTTCAAAGACTCTCCTCCGCGCCCGGCGCCCTCGTGCGAAATGCGGCAGGACGGGGCATATCGTCGACCGCACGACGCGCATTGCCGGAGAGGCATCGGGACCCTCCAATTGCCATGCCCCCCGCCAAAAAGCTTGCCATCGGTCAGGCGTCCTGCTCCCTATTTCGCTCATCACTCGTCCTGACCAACGCGCTGCTTCCCACAGTGACCTGCATGGACGCGCGGATAAAGTAACGTCCCTCCCCGCGCGACCGCCGTGCCCGAGATTCACCAGGCGCACCAGCCCGTTCAAGCAGCTCGGCTTCAAGGAGGGCGACGCGCATATCATCCGCAACGCCGGGGGCATGGCGTGCGTTCTTTCTTTCGCCCTCTCCTCCCTCCCATGCACACGACGCGGCGGCTGACATGACGCGCTCTTCGTTGTTCGCAGGAAGGACGCGTTGCGCAGCCTGATCATCTCCCAGCGCCTGCTCGGCACGCGCGAGATCGCGGTCTACCACCACACGGGCTGCGGGATGGTCACGTTCAACGGTGCGGAGCTCAAGCAGCTCGTCAAGTGGGCGAGCCCCGGCGACCATGTGTGCGCGCAGCAGGTCGACGGGATCGACTTCCTTGAGTTCTCGGACCTCGAGCAGTCTGTCCGCGACGACGTCGAGTTCTTGAAGTCCAGCCCGCTTATCATGAAGGGCACGAAGATCACCGGGTGGATACACCAGATAGAGACGGACCAGGTGTGTGTTTCTGTTAGCAGACGCAGCGCGTGATGGCGGTTCTGACACGCAGACAGGCTACGCGGGTGGTGTAACTGCGAGCAAAAGTAGATGTAGTACTAGTAATACAGCGGTAGAAAAGTGCACAAGCATTTGGCATTCATTTCGTGAAGACTTGTGCAATATTGAGCGTCGAGGGATCGCTAGCGGAAGCAAGACGTACTGGATACAACATCGTCGTCTTGCACTTGATGAGAAAGGCCGACTTTCTGTGCGTGCGGTGCAAACTTGCTCGATCGGCCCTGTGAATAGCATGAGTGGGTGCGAGTGACGCATAGAAGGAACAGCGGCTTGCCCTGCATGAAAGTCAGCTTCGAGACGGACACTCGGCTCGAGACTGCTGCTCACCAGACAAGCCCGTATCTGAAGTTGGTGGCCAGTGACCGATGCACTCCATTGCACACATCCTGGTCAGCACCTCAGTAATATCTCACACCGAATCTTGCTCGCGCATACCTCGACGGTCGCCCCCGCTCTCAGACAGATAGGATCCGTCAGATCCGGATGATCACCGCTACAAAACAAGTGAGGGTCAGTTTCTAGAGGATCGATGTAGCCGACCGTTTTTTCGTGTACACCTTGACCAGGTTCAACTCAGCCCACATTCGCTCGATGAGATAGTCGAGGCTGTGAAAATTCCTTCAGAAGGCGCCCAGGTCACCTTCCATCGCGTCACATACTTGAGATCCTGCAGCACACAGTTCAGCATCGTACAGATTATACAATGACATGAGTGTCACCATCTCGCAGCTTATGACCACCGTATTGGGCGTCCGCGCTAGCTTGTCCACTTGCTCGAGACTGATGGCGTCGATTTTGTTGTATACATCTGAGGCGAGGGTAAGTTGCATTCCTTCGGTGCACTCGCGCACTGACAGAGACAAGGAATGTATTTCCTAGTTCCTAACAGATCCTTAGTGTGATCCAAACCCTGTGCTAACCGGGAAGCTCACCGATCAGAACGTCAATAAAGTCATCCGTTGTGATCTGGAGGTGTCGTGGGTCTGGATTTTCTTAAGCGAAAGATTGGACGCACGTCCTCCCGTATCATGACGTCGCAGTTGTGTAGTTTGTCTGTGATGTTTGATCGAATCGCTGCTGAGCGAGCAGTATCCTTTCAACCTACAGCCTGCGAGGATGGTACGGATTGTCTTCTCGTCTGTTTTCGTGAGCTTGACGGTGGTGGTGAACTGGACAGGTCTTAGTTGAGTACTCAAGGTATCAGTTATGTCTTCTCACGGTGATCTGTATGAAAGTCAGCGCGACACAGAGAACGAGAGTCAGGCTTACCCCACCGGTGGTGCGTTTCTTGAAGACAATGTCTGGCTTGTGTTTGTTCAATCTGATGCCCACTGCGTCCAGCTCGATCTCAAGAAGATTCCTGGGCAGATAAAGTGAGCAAATCTATACTCATATCGTCACTGAGCATCATTTACCTCTGCTCTTCTGATTTCGTTGCATCCCTGGCACAGTCTGGGGTCAGCCCGCCCACAAGCCATTCACCACCACTCACAGCATCATCACAATCAAATCCGCCGTCTTGGCAGTAGAAACCACTTGTCTACCTCGTCCTCTGCCCTGCGCGGCACCTTCGACGATCCCTGCGAGCAGTTGACGACGATTGACGCCTGGGTATGTAAGTATGACGTACCTGGAAGATCCAACAGCTGGATTCGCGCTCCTTCGTACTCAATGACACCGGGGATTGCGGTCAAAGTACTAGCGCCGAGGTATGAGCTTTCGATCTGGGAGGGTGGCAGGATCGCGTACGTGAACTCGTATGACGCGACTTCGGACGCGGTGTGAGTCGTCTTGCTGAGCAAAGTAGATTTGCCCACAGACGGGAAACTGAAAACATAAGGATGGAGTGTTATGGTACCGATATGGAGGAGCCCACCCGATGAGAGCGACTCGCGCATCTCCAGCTTTTTGGACATCGAACCCGACTCCGGCTGGCCCAGATTTCGTGGTGGGTTCGAGAAGCTGTGCCCGATAGCGCGCGAGTTTCGCCTTTAGCAGACCCAAGTGGTATTCCGTCGCCTTGTTCTTCTGCGTCCGCGCCATCTCCTCTGTTCAGCGGTTACGAGAGCACTACTGACAGCCAATGGATTCGATCATGCCTTGGATTTCTTTGATCTGATAGCAAGATCGGGTTGAATTGGAATTTATAGTATTGAGAGGCATACCTTTTCAACGACACCCATGACTTGGTTCAAAATCCGAAGCAATTCGATACTCGAGACGGTGAGTAGAGTTTGGAAACTGATGCCAGATGCACACGTGACGAACTTCCTCCAGACAGGGATCATCGATCAGCAGTGATCCGGATCATCCAGGCACGGGTTGTGATGGGATCATGGCTGTCCTCTTGTTGCCTTGTTGTGATGTTACTCCCGCTCTGTCAGGCTCTAACACATCGCTTGATACCTTCGCGCGCAGCACCACTAATTGACACAATTCCTACTCATTCAGACTGCTCTGCGTTGGAATCCGAGCCCCATTTCATGAAGTCGAATCTTGTTGTATCTCCAAGCAAACAACTTTCCAGCCTCAGCTTCGAGTACTTATGACGTCCCTCTCAATGTTTCATCCTTGCCGGAATGTGCCGCCGGTTGCAAATATCTTCACGTAAATGATTGGGTTTGAGATCGCCCGAAAAAGCGTGTGGATATGATAGACTTGACTTGTCTTTACCCACCACTCCGAGGATGCGATGGCGCGTAGTTTCGCTGATACCCACACTGTTTGCGGTATTCGCTGAAGCTGCAACGAACCGTACTATCGACGACACGCACGGGGATAGTATAACTGGCAATAAGCCAGTCTATCAGCCATTATCGGCGTGGGCGGGGCCGTCTTGTGTCGGCTGCGCGATTCTGCCGGACACCACGCAATGCTTCGAGGGGACATACTCCGCCGCGACGTACAACCCAGGGTTGGGCTCGATGAATATCACAATGGACTTTCCAGGTGTGTGGTCTCCGGGGGACGTGTTTCCGATGCGCGTTAAATCAGCGCAGGGACTGCGATTTACGTCTACTTCATTCTTGCCAATTTTCAAGGGGACGGCATCACCACGGAGACTGCGGTCAATTTTTCTGTGGATGGCAACCTCTTGGGCGCTTACACACATACCCCGACGTCGAGCCCGAACATCGATTTCGACGTGCCTGTCTTTTCTTACAACCAACTGTCCAATTCGACGCATACACTGCTCATTTCTACTGAGGGCCCGAAGAATATCTATGTGAATTTTGATTATGCGATCTACACGTTCGTATCTGGGATGGGTCTGCTGCATGTTTGCTAATGAGGAGAACAGATTCGAAGACCCACCACCAGTGACCGTGCCGGCGACTTCACCAGCGACGTCACCAGCGACTTCACCTACATCTCAGTCAACCAATCCTCCTCTGACAACAAGTTCGCCAACGAGTCCGCCTACTTCGCCTACTTCGCCAAGCCCGCCAAGTTCGGCTAATCCCACAGTCCCCTCAAGTTCAACACAATCCAACTCGGTATCGTCTCCAACCATCGTGGCCAGCTCACTGAGTCGCGGGGCAATATCAGTCACTCCTTTGTCATCAGGTTCCATCACATCTACCTCCACCACTAATTCAGCCACCCTCTCGGCCTCATCAACAGATACTGTTTTGATTCCTACCGGACAACACAGCCACGGTGCTCTTATCGGCGGTGTCGTAGGTGGCGTTGTCGGTGCTGTGGTCCTCATTGCACTTCTGGCTCTTCTCAGAAGGCGTCGCCGCAAACGTGCCCTGGATGACCTCCCCGTCGAAGCCGCAGCGGATCCTCTGAACCCATATCTGGACGACCCATTGGCACCGCCCAGGATGGTGAATGCGTCTGGCTCAGCCGCAGCCACATCCATATATGCTAGTGATAACGGGTCCAGGCAGGATATGTCCGAGCAGCCCTTTTCACCATACGGCATGCAATTGGCTAGCAACTACCAGCACTCCGAGCTTTCGAGCGGCCCTGCGAGCAGTGCAGCACCGAGCGTCGCCCCCTTAATCAGACCCCTCCCGTCTACTGCCGGTTTGGAATCGAACAGGGACAGCAAATCCGAACTCCGACGACGGGAACTGCAGCGGCAGTCGGAAAACGCTCGTGTTGAGCTGGAGCAGCTGAATAACCGAGCACAGACGTCTTCTGCGTCAGAAAATGCCGAGTTGCAGCAGCATATTCGCAACCTGGAGGCTGAGATCTCAACCTTGAGGGCGCAGCAGTTGCATGAATCAGAGGCTGCCCCTCCAGAGTATTCCGTAGCTTAGTCGACACTGTAATACATATATGCACTGCCTAATACTCGAGAAGGCGTATTGTGTTGTATTCAAATGAGTTTAAGAACTGGTCTTCTCAATTCAGTCGCCCACAAGGTGGTCGTCGGTCGGACCAAATATCCGATATTCCCTGATCTTCGACCGTACTAATTACTGACCCTCTCCCTCTTGCTTTCCACGATGCGACGCCATCTGCCCACACTCTACTCTCACCCTGAGGATGCACTGGACGAAGAAATGGAGCACGAACAGGATCGCTGGGAGATGGGCACCCAGCAGTCCACTTCGTCCTCGCGCTCAAATTCATCATATTATCCCGCACGCGGTATCCCCCCGCGCATCAACTCGCGCAAGGGCAGCACACCCTCGGCCAAGACCTCGTCCACCGCGTACTCTCATTTTGTGAAGGTGTACCGTAGCCAAGAGGCGGACAACCCACTGCATGACCCCGATAGCCACTACTTCCAACGCGGGCTGGGGCAGCTCATGGACGCGGGCGACAGCGACGATGAGGCGACGAGCATCTTCGACACTGTGGACATATCCACCCTTGCGCACGAATCCGAGTTGAGCCACCCAGAGTCGCGTGGAGAGCGGGAACAGTGGCGAGCGATGTTGTCCTCCGTGCTATCTGGCGACGTCTTGAAAATGGAGAAATCCCGGATATCAAACGTTCTCGAGTCCGCGTCGTCTGTGAAGGAACAGCTCGTCAAAGACATATGGATCGGTATACGGGCTAGGCTGCATGGGACGTCGGTGAAAGAGGTGAAGAGATCCCTCGACGATCAACGTATTCGAATAGCAGATACGGTCATCGAAAATGTCCTCAAATTCTCGCTAACCCCCGACACACCATTCCCTGAGGCGATGGATCAGGTGTCGACTCTCTTGCACCGACTGGACTTTGTGCAGTCATTGTACCCTGATCTCAAAGCGTTCGCTGTCGACAAACCCGTCTGCCGAGAACCGCAGTTTTTACTGCGCCGGGATGCATTGATAACATGGTGGAACATCAACACGACCACGAGCCTGCAGCTTGCACGTTTGCGCCGGTGGACGGGGAGCGAGACTCTGGACGTCAATCAGCGCAACACCTCTACCGAAGTGCCTATTGGTCATCAACGACTATTCGCGTCTCCTCGCGGCGGGCCCACGGACAAGGCGGATACGTCGAGCTTCGTTGAGCGGGTATTAAAGGAAGAGACGGCCCAGACGATGTTCGAGAGGCGGTTTCTTGTCACGACGTACTCTTTCTTCCTGGGAGCCCGGGAAGCCCAGATAGCCCTCGGCCCTATCTTCAAGCAGATGAACCTGCCGTGTCTTGAGCAACAGCTCGTTCCTCTGATATCATTCCCCACGAAACTCGTCCAAGCTGGTCTCCAAGTCCGACTTGATTCGACCAACAGTCTGGACGGAATGCAGTCCATGATCGTGGACCAGATGACTGAGGACCTCAAACTCAGCATCGGTCTTGCATGTCTTGTGAAGCGCCAGTATCAGACCGTCTTTGAGCCAGACCCCAGCGGCAACTGGAACCTACCGAAATGCATCAGCGACGACTACGACGACACCATTCGCCAATCTATCAAGGGTCTGTTCAAACTGATCCATCTCAAGCTGAGAAGTGGCGCGAAAGGCATCTACTTCAAAGAGACGGAAATTCTCGAAGCGCAGCGGGATACTTTCTGGGATGTCAGTCTCTCTGTGGCCCGTGGGTCTTGTCTTATCGCCGAGGAGCTGTGGTGCGTATGTCGGCGCCTCCTCGTAGTCGTGATCTCACTGCTTCAGCTCGACGACCAACAAACTCATGGTTCGCGTGACAAATTATTTCGACACTCAGATGCAGGTCCCTCACAAACATGTGACCCAAGACACCCATCACGGTCGTCGAAGCAAGGCAATTACCGCTTCCGGAGACAACGAACCAATGACACCCGAGAAAATGATAGACTGGTATGGCAAGATCCTGGAAAGCGTTCGTCTGCGATACCGCAAGTTACAACGCTACGCCCGGTAAGCAATCACATGCAAAGTATCCGATCCACACTGACACGTGGCTAGGGAACTCATCAACCAATTCAGCAACGCAGCAGAATACAGTCTCGAAGGTGTCAGAATGGATCTGTTCATCCGCTCGCTGGTGGAGACGGGTCACTTCCTCGTCTATACCCGCACTTACGAGGAAGACTCAATGTACATCGTCGCTTCGCATCTGCTTCGGGACCGGCCGGAAGCGGTGACTCGGATTCTCACCGAAGCATTCAATGTCGAGGAGGTCATCAATGAGGACGGGAGCCGAGCCATCGGAACCAAGGTCCATTTGGCTTCCGAAGAGGACGACGAGCCGCAATATGTGCTCGTCCTGTCACCGTCCAAAGATTTCTTCTGGAACGGACTGACGATCGAGTTGACGGATATTCCCAAGATTCCGCTAGACCCCAAAGATGACCATGTGCGCTTGATCGCAGATGGGCCCCACCCCCGACTGGCACTGGCCAAGGAACTGTTCATGGACACGTTTGTGCTCGAAGACGAGAACGGGGAGTTGATTGAGCCTGAGATCACACTAAAATGTGTCCAGGAGCAAATGGCTAATATTCCCACGGTGAATCGCGAGCTGCGTAAGATCGGACGAGCGACGACGCGGTTGGCCGAGTCGATCATCAACTCGGTACATTACGTGCGGAACGCCCTGGGTATCTGCGCCGGCAGCCAAGAATTACTGGAGAACTGGTATTCTTTCGCGGCTGAGCGTGGCCAACAAGCACAGAAGTTTATGGAGCGCTCTTCGATCGTTCGCTTTGACCGGGCGTTGATCAAACACGCCATCTCCTGGGTTGCGTTCATCTGCGACGATTGCGACCCTACCGATCGCAAAACATTCAAATGGGCTGTCAATGCGCTGGAATTCACATTCGGTCGCATAAAGCGCAACATACAGCAGCTGCCGGAGGACCAGTTCCAGATGCTGCGGCACAAAGTGGCGAAATGCATGACGCTGCTCATCCATCACTTCGACATCCTGGGTGCACGGTCAACGACTGAAGCCAGCCGCGAGAAAGAGCGCCAGACAGCCATCATCAAAGCTCAGGCATCTGAAACGGAGGTCTCCGAGGTTACCTACGACGCGGTCGCTCCGACGTGTGATTTCTGGCGCAATGTGTCAGAGGCGGTGGCCGAGCTGGAGAGCTCCCGCGCAGAAGCCATCTCTCTCACCAACCACCAGACATTCGGTCGCGTGCTTGACAACTCGAAGCTCGAAGATCGGACGCTGGTGTTCCTCGCCTCGGCATCGTCGAATATCTCCATCCGCTGGCAGCTGATCAAATTCGTTGGCGCTGGTGCGTTCGGGTCTGTGTATTCTGCGATGAACTTGGACAATATGACGGTAATCGCGGTCAAGGAGATCAAGTTCCAGGAGCTGTCGAATCTGCCCAACATGTACGCTCAGATCAAGGACGAGCTGAGCGTCATGGAGCTGCTGCACCATCAAAACATCGTCGAGTACTACGGCATCGAGGTGCATCGGGACAAGGTCTACATCTTCGAGGAATTGTGTCAGGGCGGCAGTCTCGCTTCCTTGCTCGAGCATGGCCGGATCGAAGACGAGAGCATCATCCAGATATACACTATTCAGATGCTGGATGGTCTCGCGTACTTACATGCGCAGGGTATCGTGCACCGGGACATCAAGCCAGACAGTATGCACGATCTCCGTTCGTCCATTTATCTACTAACGTGATTAATAGATATTTTGCTGGATCACCGGGGTCTGATCAAGTTTGCCGACTTCGGAGCAGCCAAGATCCTCGCCAAGAACCAGCGCACATTCCAACGCAGTCGACGACCGGAGCCCACCCCCGCCGAACCCGGCGCGGCGACAGGGCTCACGGGGACACCGATGTACATGTCCCCCGAGGTGATTAAGAACGAGAGGCGCGGGCGCTACGGAGCAATGGACATCTGGTCGCTCGGGTGCGTTGTGCTGGAGTGCGCCACAGGGAAGAAGCCCTGGAGCAATCTCGACAACGAGTGGGCGATCATGTTTCATATTGGAGTGGCAACACAGCATCCGCCGCTGCCCGAGCCTGACGAGCTCAGCAGTCTCGGGGTGCAGTTCCTCAAGCGTTGCTTGACGATCGATCCTGCGATCCGGCCATCAGCGGAGGAGCTGCAGGACGACCTGTGGCTGAGCAGCTTCCGCCAGTCTTGGGAGGTTCCGGCTGAAGAAGACACGAGTGTTCTCCAGGAAGAGGAGGCCGAGGCGCTGCTAGAGTCCGCGCCTCTCACCCCGACAGAAGAGTGATTTAGGATACAGTTAGTTATTGAGACACGATCGACAACACATTTTAGGAAACTCTGAACCACGAACAGAAGTCTGATCAAGTTGTGCGCCTACTCTATAACCCATCGTTTAGATTGACCAACTGTGGGACCTTCGCTGTCGCGCCTGGCGTGTCTCGAGTCACCTGACGAGTAGTCGTAGTAGCTGTCCAAGCTCCCGAAACTCCCATCGCTGTCCCGTTTCGTCGGAATACCGCCCATCCCGTTGCCGCTGCCCTCGTAAGAGTCCCGTGTCAGCGTTCTCGTCAGCGCGGCGGCCGGCGGTGAGATCGGCGACGACCGCCGGCTCTCGAACGGATCTGCACCGTTGTTGAAGAACCGGGGGCCCAGCTGGGCCGTGGGCTTGAACATCTGCGAAGGAACGGGCACTTCAGATCCAGATCCGAAGGTCGCTGGAACATTTGAACATGTGGTGAAGATCGGCGGAAATAAAGACGTACCAGAGAAAGTGGGAACAGGCTTCTCATTGGATGGGAAGGCAACCTTCTCAGGATCGTCGCCAGGGGTAACCGACTCAAAGTCGTCGCCGGGCAGAGGCTCCTGTGCATTCACTGCGCCCGGGATCAGCAATACGGTAGCGCATGCCACGACTGGGGCTCACAGTATCGGAGTAGACCCTTGCCAAAGTTGCACTGGCACACAATCCCAAGCACGAACGACATGAGAGTCAGAATCGCCGACACAGTGGACACAATCGCGAAAAAGTTCCACGTGACGAATGTCCAACGGAAAGTCGTGGACAGGAACATGATGCAGAATCCGGCGAGGTACATCATGGACAGCGCAAGGAAGACGACCATGCCGATTCTGCTCTCGCGGCGGACGGAGAACCAGCCCTACGTCAGTCAGTCAGTACAGAGATAGACCGGCGCGAAGCGATACCCGACTGACCGTTACCAACCAGGGGATGAGCATCTGGAACGTGCGTGAGAAAATGAAGGATCTCTGAAGATGCGAAAAACATACCACAGCAGTCAATATGAATGTCACCTTGTACATCTTGATGTACCACGCAAGATGGCCCGCTGTACCATTGAACAGCTGGTCTACGAACAGGGACAAGGTTGCGCCCATGAAGAAGAAGGACAGCTGCATGGAAATCGACAACAAGAGCACCAGTTTGTACACTCGGTTGATAGTCACTGGAGGCCATTATCATCATTTGAGCAGGAACAAACAGTGCTTGCACTTACGGGAAGCTCCGACACGTTTGAACGTCTGCCACCCGAACAGCTGTTTCATGTCCATGAATTTTCGCACACCTCGGGAATGCTGGATCACGAACCTTGACCAGTTTCCAGGTGAGAATTCCAGATGCGAGCAGTGCCAAAATGTTCAGGGCCAAGATCGGAATCTCAGCACCGGCACGGGCCTGCCAGTAGTTGGGCAACAGCGACGGGACACCATTGCATGCGCCGTGGGTGATGACCTTGTCGAATCTCTGGCGGAAGAATGCCGTGTGCCAGATCTGGAAACCAGACCAAAAGGTGGCCAGGATGTGAGTGGTGAGCGAGGCAATGATGTGTGGGATGGATTCGTTGAGCAACGCGACCATCGACATGCCGAGAACCCAGAATTGAAACGCGATGAACACGATATCTTCGCGTTTCGTGTCGTCCAGACTGTCCAGGAGGTCAATGAGAGAACGTCTGGTATGATCGAGCTTACATGCTGACAGGCCAGTTCAAGGACCACATGCAGCTCTTGTCCAACAGGAGGTGGTGGTCAGCATAGCCCATCCCCGTGAGGTTGACTTGAACTGTTGTGTCATTGAGGACCAAGACCTTCGCCTCGGGAAAAAAGCTCGGAATAGACGCGCGCTTATAGAAGTTTTCCGAGACGTCTTCGGGATCAGCCACGCGCACAGGGGGAAATGTCGGCGCAGCGATGGCTGCGGTAACGATCTGGGTGACGACAACAACGCTGGGCGCACTAGGGGCAGACAGCTGAGTCGAGCTGGCCAGAGGAGTGGTGCTCGTGACGACAGAGGAAAGAACGGGCGACAATGCGGCGGAAGAAGAAGAGGCTGCGATCACGGTCAACGACCCAGGGGCGGGTGCTGCCCCGCCGGCGTAGTTGTATCCCGAATCGGTCGACGTCGAAGGAGCAGACGCGCTCGGGTCGGCGGGGTTGTAAACCATGTTGCGGCCCGGCGTTCCGTCGTACACGACCACGCACTCGTCCGTGTCCAGGTCCGTTGGGACCTGCGCACACATTCTCACTTCCTGCACCGTCGATTCCCCGGGGTGCGCCAGTGCGGCTCCGCTTCCGGAAACGATCGGACGGGTCGATAGAGCAGGCACGCTCGAGTTTGTCGCGTTCCCTTCGAGTGCGATGTTGTACAGGAATGTCGCGGCATTTGCGTTGATGGTGAAGGCTCTGATTTGGAAGGCAATCTGGATGACGAAGTGGGCGAGCGAGAAGACGACGTATGCGACGGTGAGCTTGGAGACGGTGACGCGATCCCACTAGAAAGCCAGAGATTAGAAGAGACATACGAAAGATATACAACTGATAAAATGGGCACGCACCACCAACTTGACTTTGGAAGGCAGAGGAAGGACCTCCCAGATTTGCTTGACACGCATTTCTTATTCGTATAACAGCTGAAATATCCCCGCTCAACTCCGCTCCAACGGTAGTCAGCGAAAGTGGCTCACAGAGGGACTAAAAAGAGTGTTGAAACCACTAGGGTTGAAGGAGAAAGAAGAGACGACCGGGCTTCCTGACGAGCTACGAGGAGGACGAGGAAGAGGGCCGCAGAGAGACGGGCCAGCCGGTGGAAATGAGTTGGTGTGGAGGGGAAGAGAGCCAACGACAACCTGCTACACTGGACAGTGCTTGCCCAATCACGATCGTGAGCCGTTGCCATCAACGTCACTCGGTGTTAGGCGAAGAACAATCGTCGATCTACAACATCCCGGAGATATTTAGAGTCTAGATTCAACCTACATAGGAGCGCGAAGCGTATCGCGCAGAAGGGTATGTACGCAGGCGCTCTGTGCTGGACTGCACCCGCAGCGCAGATGTCTTGCAGGAATTTACGCAATCAAGTTATCTCATTCTGAATGACGATCAAGCTTCAAGCCCTGTCAGCGCAGCCCTGCCGCAACCAAGGTCATCGGAGGGGACTGGAACCGATAGACAGGATGGGAGAACTCCGGTGTGTTACGCGATCTGTATCAAGCCCGTCAACGCCGAAAAAAGTTCTTGTCATCGCAGCGAGATCTTCGTGATCAGAGCGCGCTGCATGGCTGTGCATAGAGCGACAGCCTAAAAGCAGCAGGTGATGCTCCTACGATGTTGGGGACGAGCGACCAGCACCCCGAGTCTCAGTTCTCAGCAACGCTGATCGCACCATGCTTGCGAACATGCATCGCCGCCCAAATATCAATCGGTGAGTCATGAAGACTGGGATTCGTCTGACCGCACCAAAGCTCTTGGCTTCGTTTATCAGATCTGTTCCCACTGCGCCTGATTCAAAACCCGAACGACCCGACAGAAAACATGGAGAGGACCGTAAGAGGAGTTCACCCAGCAGGCTGGGGAGAGATGCTCTACTACCAGTAGCCGCAACTTGAAGGACCGGAGAAGGATTGGTGTCACGTGGTAATCACGTTGCTGTACTCTTCGCATTTGGCACTTTGCCGACCAAAACCATCTTCATACGCATCCGATGATGCCCGTCGCAGACACCGAAATCATTTTCCTCGGTACGCTTCCCGGGACGACTGATGGCTAAAATGACACCTCACTCAAGGGACCGGAACGAGCAGCTCTCTTCCTCACATCGGTTTGCCACGTTCTTAGCCTGTGACTGTCACATTGAGCAGCCTGTTGCTTCAGCATGCATAACTGCCCAAGCCATCCCGGGATCGTCCGAAGACCCACCCTGCAGAACGTGTCTGAGCACCATAGACGGAAGCATAGAGGGAAAGAAGAACATCCGCCGTAACACGAGCATCGTCGCTCGTCTACCTGGAGATGTGTGCGACTGATCTTGTCCTATCTTTCTGACGTGATATGGAACTGCGACTACAGAACAATTCTCATAGACTGCGGCAAGACTTTCCAAGGTAAGATCCCTACATTTTTTTGACCATGCCACTCATCTGCAGCTCGCAGCGGCTGCCTTGGAATGGTTTCCAAAATACAAATTACGTAAGATCGATGCTGGTAAGGCAGATACTTTCTTTCAGTCGATCTTTTTTCTGAGATTGTTTTTAGTGCTTATCACGCATGCGCACGCCGACGGTAAGTCTCCTTTCAAGAGGCGCGACTGGGGTACTGAGCGTTCGCAGCAATCAACGGTTTGGATGATCTTCGAGGTAATGCTCAGCGGTTCCAAGGAGATGTGTCGCCAATTCAAACTCGTACAGCTTGGACACTGAATAACAGGATCCAACCGCACATTGATCTCTATGCTTCAGCGGATACTTATAAAGATATTAAGAAGACATTCCCGTATCTAGTTTCGAAAGGTGATCTTTCAGCTTGGTCCATGGCAACTTTGACTGATGACAACCAGAATTCGCGTCTGGGGGAGGCGATGTATGCGTTTCCCCCCGCTCCGAACGTGCTGATGATGATATTTGAACAGGTCCCAGATTTTGTGTGGCATGTGTGCATCGAAGACGGAAAACCATTTGAAATTCAAGACAAGCCTGTGACCGTGACTCCATTCTTGGTCAACCACGGTCGGCTGTTTGTCAAGCCGGTATTAGACGCAGTTGCTGGACTGTCCATACATGATTCACAAGCGCCGCCGGAGGTTATCATACCGTACATGTGCTTCGCATTCCGGTCAGCTCCATTCGAGAACAACAACTATGTGAGCTGACGTCCACAGGATCGGGGACGAGTTTGTTTACATCTCAGACTGCGCGGCCATCCCAGACAAAGCCTGGGACTCGCTCCGCCTCAGCAGCGATAAGCAGATTCCGGTCTGTATACTCGATTGCCTGCATCTGGAGCCCCATTCGTCGCACTTTGGGCTGAAAGGCTGCGTCGATGCCGCGAGGAAAATCGGGGCCCAGCGGACTTACATGCTAGGTTTCTCGCACGATGTTGCGCATGACGAGTATGAGGCGATCGGGCGAGTCATTGGCGGGGCGGAGCCTCCCGCAGATCCGACGGAAAACGTGCGGGTGGGCATTGGCATGGTCGCAAGCTCAGAGCATATTTGGATACGGCCGGCTCATGACGGTCTCCGAATTAGCATTTCGGGCGACTCTGTTACAGACGATACATATTAGTAGAGATCATAGATGTCTTGCACAAGGAAGGATGCGTCAGGCCGGCAGCTAGCGCTCAACTTCCATGATAAATCGCTGACAAGGCAAACATTGATAGATATCTGGATCCGCAGCATTATCACTTTTGCGACCAATGGCTGACCGAGAGAGGGAACGGCGGGACGCGTGGTCTCGAGTCACGAGCAGCATCGAGCTAAGCCCGTCCATAAAGGACCAGATGTGAATGGAACTCGAATCAATTTGCGCCGACATTCTCAACATGGACACCGCCGCATTCGAGAAAGCTAACAAGATTTATGCTGCAGGATTTCAGGAGCCAGATTTACGTCGAGTGTTCAAAGATGTCATCGTTGGTAGGGCCCATTTGCTCCAGATCCTGCCTCACAAGCCTCAAATTATGTCAGTAACGTGTATGGATCCACGAATCCAGTGCGTCTCAGCCCTAAGCACCCTCCAATATTGAAATCTGAATGATACAAACAGACCGTACGAGCAGTTGGGACTCAAATCAGGCGAGGCCATCACCATTCGCAATGCAGGAGGCTCAGCGTATACATATTGCGGTTCGCGACAAGTCCCAAGCTGATTCAAGGACGCAGGAGAGAAGCCGTGCGTAACATCGTCGTTGCCCAACACTTTGTCGGTTCCAGGGGGGAGATCGCCGTCTTCCATCACACAGACTGCGGTATGTCACGAATGTCGTCGCAGGAATTGCGCGTGTCGGTGAAGAAGGCCAATCCCGGAAGAGAAGACGTCGCGGAAACAGTCGACGGCATGGATTTCCACCACATCACTCATATCGAAGATTCCGTGAAAGAGGATGTCGAGTTTCTTGGGGCCAATCCGCTGGTCATCACGGGAACCAGAGTTTCCGGTTGGGTGTACGATGTCGAGACGGGCAAGGCGAGTATTCCATAGATCTAAAGAAGAGCCAAATTTGACAAAGCCCGCAGATTCGCAAGGTTTTGAGCTTGGTTGTGGGAGAGGTCTAGAGTCGAAAGTTGGTCGTCCTCAGGTTAGCAGTAGACCGTCTTGGGGTGATCGGATCAGTCGATCGATTCGACTCCTGTCTCTTGATCTCGAACGATGACTATGAGCGAATCGGACTCTGCCCAACTGGCCAAACTCGCTGCGCTGTCCCCGCCGACAGAATCTGAACAACCTGTCATTGCCGTGGATCTCGATGACGTCTTGAGCGAGACAAATACTGTGGTGGCAACCTGTCTGTGGGCCAGTCGCGAGTCGCCCTCTCGCTAAACCAATTCACAAGGGCACAATGAGAGCTACGGCACGGACATGGATCTTTCCCAATTCTACTGTTAGTTTCTGTCGGGAGCTTGCACACCCGTTCACCTTTGTTGAATGCCATACTTAGATTTCTATTGCTGGAAGGTCAGCGTGCTGCACCTTACGCCGAGTGCCCTTGTAACGGGTGATCAAAGAACCCTTTTTGGGGCACTCCTGAAGTGACATTCGAGAAGTTCAAACAATTCTATTCGACCGGCGTATTATTCAGCGCTCATCCTGTGCCTGGCGCGCGGGAGGGTATCCAAGCGTTGAAGGATCTGGGATACAAATTGGTCATCGTCACTGCGAGATCTGTGGATGTCGCCGACGCTAGCTACGAGTGGGTCGAGAAGTATTTTCCTGGTGTGTAAATCAATCTCCTCTCGGCGTTCGATGGCTGAGTCCGATGTGGCCATCTTTGACAGGTCAATTTTCAAATATCGTCTTCACTGGACAGTTCAGTGACGCCAGCAAGCTACATCACAAAGAAATTTTAACCCATCTCACAAAAGGACAGGTTCGTTCGGGGCCTTCAATTGCGATAGCGTCTCTCAAACAAGCTCCAGATTTGCGCCAGCCTGAAGGCGCAAGTCTTGATTGACGACTCGGCCGAGAACGCATTACAAGTTTCGACTGCCGAAACGGCTACACGCGTTCTTTTGTTCGGGGATTATGAATGGAACAAGAGGATATCGCTCACTGGAAATGGTATCGACTGATACTCGTCCTACTATTTCCTACCACTCACATTGGGTCTACCAGCTTCAGACCACATGTCTTTCGACGAACGATTGGCTGCATGCGACGGCCGTGAATTCTGGAAAGAGGAAACTCTTGAAGTTCCTGACGGTGCGCCGCTTGAGCGCGCAAAGGACTGGGGTGAAGTCATAAGATGGGTTAAGCGGGCAAAAGAGGAAGGCAGAATCGAATAGATAAGATTAGATAAACCCCAACCTGGGGGACGGTGCTTGTGACTATCTTTCGTCATGGGTAGTGGCAGTGTCGAGGCTTTGGACAGTAATCACATGCCAGTGCAACTCGTTTGTATCTTACTCTGGACGGTTGACCCCATCTCGGTCCCATGTCTACGTCCACTCTCAGAACGCAGCAGCTACGGGACTTGGCTGCGCGCCTGGGCAAGGGATACGGATCTCATCGGCCTGCCATCCAACGCATCCTGAACGCGGGGTTTGCCCTGTATATCATCGGCTGGACGTATCGGAGCCTGTCAGGTTCCGGTGGTGGATCGAGGAAGGCTAAGGGGAAGGGAAGAGGGAAGGGGACTGGGAAAGATGGGTCTCCGAAAGCGCCTCGCGTTGCGGTGCGCATCTGTCTACCTCGGAGCAACCATCCATTCACGCAGCTTATGCACAGGTTGACGCCGTCTTCTATCAGCGGCTCTCCCAAATACTGAGGATAGTGATCCCTGGAATGGCGAGCAAAGAGGCGCTCTTTCTTGTCATGCACTCCAGCCTCCTCGTCTTTCGCACCGTGCTCAGCATCTACGTCGCGCACCTCGATGGCGTGTATGTCCCCTCTACTGCACCTGCTTCGCCGTCTTGACTGACTATGTGTATCACAGGATCGTGGCCAGTCTCGTTCGCGGCCAGACGCGTCAATTCTTCTACAACATCATCCGTTGGCTGCTTGTGGCCATCCCAGCCACGTGGACTAATTCGTGGCTGAACTTCGTTCAAAGCAAGCTTGCGCTTGCCTACCGGAGCAAATTGACTAATGCAGTCTTGGGGGAGTACCTTGGGAAAGGCGGAGAGGGTGCGGATGGTAAAGTGTACTACAAACTATGTGAGTTCCTGTTCTACCACAGTCTCGTGCTTGAACACTGAACCCGTTCCAGCTAATCTCGATGACCGTGTCGTCAACGCAGACCAGTATGCGATCATGAAGTTGACCTGCCATTGTGTCTGACACTACTCGTCCAGGATGATAACGAATGATATTCAGAAGTTCTCCGCACATCTGGCTGCGATCTACTCCAACCTGGCCAAGCCGGTCCTCGACATGATCCTGTACAACTACCAGCTATCTCAGAACGTAGGCGCTGAAGGGCTGCTTGGCTTGACTCTGCTAGTTCAGTCGACGGCTGCCCTATGTGTGTGTGGTATCGGACGCCGAGGCTTGATACTCATGTCATTGCAGTGCGTTACCTGACGCCACCTTTCGGCGCGTATGCAGCCAGTTCAGCCGAGCTCTCAGGGTCTTTGAGACACACCCATTCAAGACTCGTTGAATTTGCGGAAGAGGTCGCGTTCATGCGAGGCGAGGAGACCGAGAAGCTCCTGATCGAGAGAGAATACGCGAATCTTATCAAACACGAGAACCATGTGCTCAATCGCCGGTGGTGGTTCAGCATTCTTGAAGAGGGCATCATCAAATGGTTGTGGGGCAGTTTCGGAGTGAGATTTCAGAACGCGTCCTCGGTTCTTCGGGCTGACCTTTCCTAGTTGGTTCTCTGTGCGATTCCCGTTTTCGTGAAGCTCCCCGGGATCTCGCTTGTCGATCTCGGAGGAAGAACTGAAGGATTCGTCACAAACCGGCGTCTGCTTTTGTCATCTTCAGGTACCGAAGACGTGCCCTGAACCACGAGCTTGAGCTGATCGACTTTTAGATGCATTCGGGCGCGTGATGACGTCTTACAAGGATCTGTCTGAGCTGGCTGGCTACACTGCTCGTGTATCGCTCCTGCTCGACACGATGCAGGATGTCAAGGAGGGGAAGTTTAACAAAGGGCTGATTGCGAGCGCTGCGGAGGGTGAGAATGCGGAAAGTGCGTCGTCTTGCTCTTGAGGATGGATATATTGATCGACCATGTACAGTCCTGAAGGGACGAGGAGAAGTCGTTGACTCGGAACACAATATCGAATTCGAGAACGTGCCCATTGTTACCCCGAACGGCGATGTTCTCGTCAAGAGCCTGAGTTTCCATGTCAAACCCGGGGTGAGTACGACCCTCGTCATATAGGCGCATCATCGACAACATTTATGCAGCAACATCTACTCATCGTGGGCCCGAACGGTAATTGTCTTTCTCGGCAGATGGGGCCGTGTTTTATCACTATGCTGCAGGCTGTGGGAAGTCGTCACTATTCCGCATTCTTGGTGGACTGTGGCCAGTGTACGGCGGAATCGTCCGCAAACCACCAGCGTCCGAATTCATCCTGATACCGCAGCGACCGTATCTCACTTTGGGAACGCTGAGGGACCAATTGATCTATCCTCACTCGAAAGCAGACATGGATGCTCGTATGTCTAATTGTTCGCTATCAAGAGACTCGTTCTCATGTTCTTCGACAGGCGGAATCACCGACGCCGATCTATTCAAGATCCTGTCTGTAGTCAATATGGACAGCATCGTAGACCGTGAAGGGGGCTGGGATGCTTTGAAAGAATGGCGAGACGCTCTTAGCGGCGGGGACAAGCAGAAGATGGCATGGGCCCGACTGTTCTATCACAATCCCAAGGTCAGTCACCCAATCGAAAATCAGAAACCGTACTCAACTCGGTCAGTACGCGATCCTCGACGAAGCCACTTCTCTTGTCCCGGAAGAGATGGAGGGCAAGATGATGCAACATGCCACTAGATTGGGCATCACTCTGTTGACCGTGTCGCACCGGCCATCGCTCTGGAAGTACCACAGTCTTATCTTGAGCTACGATGGAATGGGTGGCTATGTCTTGTCGGTCTTATTTTGTCTTGCGTTTTCAATTGCATCTGATGTCCTCCAGCACCAAGCTCGACGCCGAGAAGAGGTTGGCCCTTCAAGAAGAGAAACAAGCATTGGAGGCTAAGCTCCTCGAGATGTACGAATCTTCGCTCGCTGTCCCTGATTTAGCTCATTTGCGTGTAGTCCCAAGTTGGCAGCCAGATTAGAGGAGTTGAAGAAATTAGCTGAGAATCGTTAGTCGGTACTTGGCGGTGTTGATGGAGTCCGGACCGGATGTACCGGCGGGTCACTTTTGTAGCTTATGTCGCTGTGTATGACGTGATGACTCGGCTCCGTAAACCCCCGAGTGGAGACCTGACAAAAATTGATCTGTTGACAGGGCACCTTTTCCCTTAGAATCACCTGCCGCGGCACTTTTGTACTATCTCTCTCTCTTCGTTCACGATCCGACATGCATTTCTTCTCCCAGTCGTACAACTACGAGTGCGCATATCCTTCTCTCGGGTTTGTCACCCTCTGAGACTCCGCCCCAGACATTCTTGGTCCCACGTCGTCCTCGGGATGTGGCACAAATACCCCAATCCTAAATGCACACACGTTATCAGCATAGACGTTGTGGATCGGACGGTAGACCCACAGACAGGCATTATTCGCACAGAGCGCATCCTCGGCTGCAAACAGAAGGCTCCGGGGTGGATCGTCAAGGTATGCCGTACCGAGTCAGACGACCACTCTTCTTATAACCCCCGAATTCCAGCTCTTCGGTGGCTCTGAAGACGCATACGTCCGCGAGATAATATTCGTCGACCCCGTCCAACAAAACGCCTCTATCACATCGGTCAACCTCTCCCTCTCCCAATTCGCGACATGCTTCGAGCGAATAGAATATGCTCCCACACACGATAACCGGACCACATTCACGCAGACGGCAGAGATCCAAGCACGAATGGCGCTATGGCGAAGTGCATCTGACGGGCTTGAGCAGTGGCTCGTCCAGCGATTTGAGCAGAACGCGCATCTCGGAAAGCTCGGGTTTACAGACGTCCTGCGGGCATTAGAGGAGCGACAGATGGCGACGAGTCCGGCTTAGAGGCTGGGCGCGGGATTCGTAGTTTGATTGATACACTCTTTTTTTAGAGCGGGCGTAGACGCGTAGGCACCCAAAAGTATGCACCGCTGTATTTCTAACATTCGTGTACCTTATGTCGGTAGAGGATAATTGCACTGTAGACCGAGGCAATGAACATTTTGACGCCCCCTTGCAATCATATTATTGGATTCTACATACTATTAAATCAGTGTACGAATATCAGCGACTCTCTCATTTGCCCGGAGGAACGAAATCCCGGGTCAGGTCGATGTCGCCCGCCAAATGAGTGTTCGTAAGACGAACTTGTCGCTGCCGGGGTGCTCCGCCTCGCTTGCCCTTCTTTTTCGTCGTCGGGGCGCGTATCGGTGCCTGTGCTGCCGCTGTGAGCTGCAACCCCTCTGTGAGACGGTGAGCCGCCTGGATGACACAGGAGATGGATGGATCTACCTTTGGAGAGATCTCGTCGCAATTCCACGTCGTCGGGTAGCTTCAGGCTGTGCCAGAGATCATTGAACTCTGGTTGGGAGTCAAAACGAGTCGGAGATATGCGGCAGTAACCCGCCTTTCTCGACGGGCATCCCACCGCTTTCCTCTGTTGGTTTGATTTCGTTCCAGAACACCATTCGCAGCTGACCGTCCTTCACTGTCCTCGTCACAAGCACCTCACCTTCCTGTTCCAGCTCTTCGACTGCCTGCGGTGCCTCTTTCCAAACTTCCTTGAGCGTTTTCACGTGAATACCGCGTCCGTTCTTGGTGGCACGTTGTATCTCGGTCAGCAGCGCTGCTTTGTTTCGGAACGTGAATTCGTGCTGCCCAAGTCAAAGGCGCCTTCAACTGGATCACACAAACAACCCACCTTGTACGAGTACAGGTCGGTCTTGGCATTGTATTCGATTCGGTCGTGGCTCTTGAACTTCTCGAGTAACACGGAATCCTCTAGCAGTGGGGTACCCGTGATCAGTGCAATGTCTTCTAGACGCGAAGGGTTTGGTGTCGACTGAGTTTCATTGGATACTGGCCCAACCGCGATGGAAAGGAGCACCGCACCTTCAAGTAGTCGACAGCATACACCAGCTGCGTGTTGACATTGTTCCCTGTGCCTGTATCCGCCGGCTGCGACCAGACAACATCTGCCGGCGTACATCAGCGGCTGTAGGAGAGCCCGCACTGCCTATTCCCACTGGATTTTGGTCGCGCCTTCTTCTTTGTGGGCTCAGGGACGTAGTCAGGATCAGCAGTGTTGTCGTCGACTGGGGGATCGGAGGCGGGAGCGTCTTTCGCAGATTTAGAGGACTTGGAGTGCCATGACGTGAAGTCTTGTCTTTTGAGAGTGTTCTTGAAGGACGCTGCGTCTTGTGCGAGCCTAGACATCAGCGAAGGACAACAGGTCCCTGTCCTGTCTCGGTCCGTAACATATTGTGACCATCAATCACATCGTACGCGTTCGAATCCCACCATGTGCGAAGTTCTGCCATTCACGGTAGGCGAACGGCAGAAACGTGCCAGGAGTTGTCTTTTCTCTCATGAATGCTTGAATACCCTGAGAGGATCCGAAGGTCAAGCTGATTGTAATTTGTTCACCCGAATCACTTGTGACGCAGTGAAGAGCTATGTCACATCGGGTCACGATAACTTCTATCGATCTCCGAAAACTGTAGCGCTTTTTCTTCGAGACTTTGCCACCGAGGACGTTAGAAGCCTCGTAGAGCGCGAAATTGACGCCAGTCAGTCGGATGTGTCACCTACAAGCCTCTCATTCACTTCGTATCGTTTCACAGGCAGTTTTTCGTTTGCTCGCTGAAGCGAACGCTCGGCCCCCATGGACGAGCTCCTCCACTACTGTCTACGCGAGCTCGCGTTCGACGGAGACCTCGGTGAGTTGCGCCGTCATGTGACGGATTTGGCTAGGGAAAAAATTACCTACCCGCGACTGTGTCTGCGTTCGAACCCGACCAATAGATCCCTTTTCTTGTTTTCCATTATCTTTTCTGCATGCATTTCTTAACATTCATGTATACTCATGCTTCTTTCTGCGTCGTACAGGCTGTAAAGTCTCGCGTCTACGCGACTTTGTAGACGACTTCTACACCCGTAGTCCCACCTCGGGCGTCCAAAACACGGACGATGCGTTTCATGCTTTCGTATGGTCGCTTGTGGCTCAACAGCCCACTGTGATCATTGGCACCGTTCCTCCTGGCATCACCTCCGAAGTATGGATCGCGCCACAGACGAGTGCGCAGCGCAAGGCGAAGGAGAAGGGACAGGTCGCGAAGGTGAATGAGAGGGTGACACTAGACCTTGTCGACGATGCGAAGAATCGAACGTTGCAAGATCTTGAGGCGGAGTATGGGGATAAGCTGAGAATTGCAACGGACCCTCAAACGACATACGTCGCTATCACTGGAACACATATCCACGTTCGTTACGTTTCTCCTCGTCCTCCTTCCCGCTCACCGTCCTCAGTTCCCGAAAATGAGTCCGATGGTGTATTCGGCGCTACAGCTCGTCACTCGCGGCAGAGACAACGGTATATCCGTTATCCAGCTCGGCCAGCAGTCCAAGTATGATCAGAAGACGTGCTTTTACTTGATCAAACAGCTCACGGAACTCGATCTCGTGTATGTCTCTTCATTATCACTCAATTCCATGCTGACTCCTTTCTAAGCGTGAAAGTACGACGAGGCGGCATCAATTCCAACTTCTGTATTCACAAATACTTCTATGAACGGAATGAAGCATGGAAATCAATCCGAGAGGAGGAGTTGCGTGCAAAGGCGGAGGATGATGTTCCTCCCCCCGCCGACAACGACGTCGATTTGGAGGAAGACGAAGCAGATCCAGAACGCTTGAAAGCGCTCGATTTCACTCCCATCGATGCGCGACATCTCTCCAGTCTACCTCTGATCAAGGCTCGCGTCCTCAAGCTCCTAAAGTCATCGAAAAATCAGATGCACGCGTCGCAGAACATGCTGATTGCAATTGTCAGTGATCTCTCCGTCTTGAACGCTGGTCGTTGGTTGAACGCACTAGGGCTTCAATCACCCCACAAAAACACACCGCCGATTTTTCACGAGCTTGACGCGTGAGATGATCCAACAGGGTGTGATGGAGTCCGTCTTTGTCCCCAATAAGAAGACAGGGCTCAATAAACCTGGGACTAAGTGTTTCCGACTCGTGGCTGCGGATCGGGAACAAGTCGGGGAGCAGGAGGAATCCGATGTTATCGTCCAGCGGCTAGACGAAGATGACAGTAATAATCCAGGTGTGCTGCTCGTGTTTGTGTCTTAATGACCTCTGACATGTTCGTCTCTAGAGGTCGAATCTGGTTCAGACCGCGGCGGCGTCAAGATGAACTGGACAATTCACAAGCAAATGTTTTCGCTAGTGGAGGAGTCCGGGACGACTGGAATGACCCACTATGTGAGTCGCCCTTGCTCGTCTTGCTGGCGCTCCTGCCTGACGTCAACGAACCAGCAATTGTCTGATGCCTTGGGCCAATTTGATAAACGTACACTCGAGCTGTTGTTACAGCGCGCGGGGAATTTTCCACCGCCAGCTCACCTGGTCGACTTGCAGATCATTGGGCGGATGGAAAATTTTGGCCGAGAGCGGAGGCAGAGATATTTCACCGCTGCGAACTATGAAGCACTTGTCGAACAGGAGAAGCTGGACAAAGAAGCGGCCAAGTGTCTGGAGATCAACCAGGAACTTGCCGGTGGCTTCTATCCGTTTTCTGCTGAGGTGTTTCACGAGGACGAGGCTGCCTTGGTCGAGTATCAGGATCGCGACTCGCGTTCTGTGACCGGTGCCGGGCGCGGGCATAAGAAGAGGATCAACCCCCTCTTACCGGATGGAACGGTGAAAAAAGGAAGACCGAGGAAGGTTCTGGCGGAGGGCGAGACACCCAAATCGAGGAAGCGAAAGCGGGCTGGTGAAGATGTTGATGGCGAGCCGCAACAGCCGGCCGCTAAGAGAAAAAAGAAGGGCGCAGGTACGCGGTTCCTCTACTGTCACAATGATGTTGACGGTGGTGTGCTAGCTGAAGCTGATGATGCGGTACTGGTAGAGGACGTGATCCCCTCCACCGAACCACCAGCTCCCAAAAAACGTGGCCGACCGCCCAAAAACCAAGAGCCCTCTGCAGATGGGGCTCCTGCAGTGCCAAAAAAACGGGGGCGTCCCTCGAAGCAGAAACCTTCAGATGATGCTATCGATGCTATAGAGAAGAAGGCGACGCCCAGGAAGAAACGGGGAAGGCAAGATGCTGAAGCTGAGGCTCCGCCGATCGCAGTGTTGGACTCGACCGATGTTACGCCAGCTCCGCATGCTAAGCGCGCGAGAGTGGATCCGGTTCCAGATAACACGGCTACCGTCGTTGAAGCACTGGATGAACTGGCTGACGACGATTTGGATGGCATTGGAGAAATGGAAGTGGATATGGAATCAGGTCCAGTCCAGCCCAAGGTCGAAGCTGTCACTCAGCCCGTTCAATCAGAAGGGAGACCTGTCGATGCGGCTCCTGAAGCTCTGCCCGCTGAACCTCAAGTCGAGCCTCAAGTCGAACTTCGAGTGGAGCCCCAAGTCGAGGTCGAAGTGGATGTTCCACCGGTCGAGATTGCTCCCGTGGAACAAACGGCAACTCGAGTGAGTAACTTCAATCAATCGCACCGAACAGATCATGACATGTCCCAGACCCGACGAGTGAATGTGTCCAGTCTGCGCCGACAGAACGAGCTGTTCCGTGTTCTGCAAGAATGCGGCGGGATTCTCAATCTTTATACGAAAGAAGTCTATGATGATCATCAAGCCTTGTTGACTACTCTCAGTCGAAATGGAGAGCCGACAAGCGCTCCGCCTGGGACTCGTCTGGACAGGCGGACTGCAGTGACCGCATTCAACGATCTCGAATCGAGGGGAAAGGTCAAACAGCTCAAAGCGACGGCGATCAGCTCCTCGGGGACACAGCGGTTGACGAGCTTGGTCTACTTGCCAGAGATGGTGGACCAAACAAAGATCACAGCATTTGTGGCAGAGGTCGGACGGAATATGCTCACTCTCCCGGTGATTCCTTCCAAATCCGTTTTGGTCGGAGAAAGCGCTCAGATGGAGTATGGATCCAAATCACGAGCGAAGCTAGCCCCCAGTTCCAAAGCGGTCGCTCTCATTCCCCGCAAACCACGTGGATCGACTCGTGACCTGCCGACGCACGCCGAAGAATTGTTTGCCCATGACGACGAGACCGTGCGCGACGTCCTGCTCACGGAGCGAGTGACGGTCGGGCAGTTGTACGGCTTTCTGCCCGGAAAACTCATCCGGGCGCGTGAATTGCACGTCTATCTTGTCAATATGTTCGAGTCGTCGTCGGTGCAGTCCTCGATGATCGTGTCGCACCAAGAGCGGATCCTCTCCTTTTCATGGTTCTTCACGGATATGGGAATTGGGATGTATTGTGCGCTGGTGGCCACGACCGCTGTGTGCGATGAGCTCACAGATCGCTTGGAGACACGTCAGGGTCAAGCCATGTCCATCAAGGAGGCCGGTCCTGGTATACATGCCGCGCTTTCGATTGGCCGGAGTCGTAGCCGAGCAAGGATAATCGATATCCTCGACACTCTCAGATGTTTGGGACTGATCACTCCGCTAGAAGAGGTATCGCCGGCTGGCCATGCCACAGTTACGTGCGCGCCGAGCGACAAGTACCCAAGCGCCTTTGAAGAGGTGACTGATGATGCTTGGAGTGCCGACTCACTTGCCTCTGCGCCGAGATTCTGGCGGCTCAATTCTTCCGCGCCCCTGCATCACTGGGCTGCATCTGACAAAGCGCCGCCGTTTCTGCAAAACCTGGCTGTGCAACGGTATCCTGAAGCCGTCGCATACTGGAAGCTGCTGCAGCAGGCCTGCGAGGACGAAGTTTTCCCTCCGAACGTGAACGGCGAGGCGCCTCCTGCGGGGTTCGTTGTCAAAAAGATCCGCTCTATCACACGGAAGAGTTCTTGGACAGAGGAATACGCCTTCAGCTGGCACCAGACGACCTGGATCTCCAAACAACTGGACAGGATCGGACATCCAGGGGGGGTTGCGGATCCCAACGTCCCTGCGGATGGCCAGATAGAGCGACTCGCGTGGGTTGTCAGTGCTCCCGTGGCTGAGGTGCGGGAGCACGTGAGAACGGTGCAAGCCAACAAAGCGAGGGAGGCAGCCAAGATCGCCGACCGGAAAAGACGCGAGGCGGAGAAATGCATGCAGAATGAGGAGGTCAAGGCTTCGTTGGCGAAGAAAGCGGCTGATGCGAGGGCGGAGCGAGAAATCAGGTGGGACGCGTTGCTGAACAAAGTGCATCCGGGCCCGATCGGGGCGAGTGCTGGCGCCAGGCTGAACAGAGTCCGCACGTTGTACATGCAGGCTGTCGTGGGCGCAAACACCTCCAAATGGGAGCACGACATACTCCAGGCCATCCAGGACGCAGGGTTCGCCAGCAGTGCTGCATCGGTCGCCGGGCTCGGGAAACGGGCGAAGCGGGCTTCGACGAGCAAGAGTTCTTCAGCTCATTCGATGCCTTCGGTTCCGGTTGCAGCCACTCTTCTGATGCCGGTGGGAGCGCCGCCAGTCGTGTCCAAGGCGGCACCCGCGAAATCCGTGGCATCGCTCGTCGCGATGCAGGGCCCAGCCATTGTTGAGAAGAGCAGGAAGAAGCAGAAAATAAAAAAGGGCGCTGTCGCTCTCGTCGAAGGTGCGACGCTTGTTCACGCGTTTGGTTTCATGTTAGATTGACACCCGTCGAAGAGGAGAAAACACCATCTCCGTCTCCTGGCCCACGTACGCGGTTCCAATGGAACAAGGACTACGAGGAGCTGGCCAAGGACGCTTATGTGATTCTGCAGTCCCGATGCCGCTCGCGAGGCAAGCTGGATTACAGCCAGTTCAAGCAGGTCTTTCCAGCTGTTCCCCGGAATAGTATCCGCAATCACGTGAAATCGATGCGCGATGCGTCGAGCACTGCGGCCTATCTCACGCGACTCGAAGACCAGTGGCATCGACTGTGGATCCAGTACCGGGGCACGCTGTATCTGCGAGACGACGATTATCTCAGTCTGGAACCGGATAAGTTCAGTCTGGTGGAACATGTTGAGTTTCTCAGGAAGAGTATTGATAAGAATGCGCTGTGAGTGTGCCCGCCCTTTTGACCCTCCTTTCTGCTCTGACCTGCTGCCAGACGCGTTGGATTCGCTGAAGAGGCCGCCCAAGAGCAAAACACGATACCAGCCAGCCTCGAGGAGCTGCTCGACACATTCGATGTCGTCGAGGCGCCCGCTACAGTACCAGCATGGGACTTCATGTGGAGCGGATCGATCGAGGACGGGCGAGAGAAACGGGCGCTGAGACAGGCCATGACGATGCGGCCCGATGACATCTTCGCCTCGACTATCTTGGAGAACGAACGCATTCCGTTGGCCGAGACGGCGCTCAAGATGGTCATGAGCGTCGCCGCTGAGAGATACGATCCAGCCGAGGCCTCTAAGCTGCTGCATGGGATCGGGCAGGATGCGGTTGTCGTTGCCCAGAAGAACCTGCTAGGACGAGGCGTGCTGTCAAAGCGGTTCAAGAATCCGGGGAGGAAGCCTGGCCGGATGCTCAGGATCTCAGATATGTGTGTTGCTTGGCCTCGTCTCTGTTTTTCGTCCTTGATGATTTGGTGATTCGGCAGGAACTCTAACGCTATCGGAGGCTCGATCCCGAAAGAAACGTTTCAAGATGCGATTGGGCTGGAAGAGATATCGTCTCAGGATGAGACGTGGCGGGAGTGGCCGCTGCTTTCGACGGACGGGGACACGGCTGCTTTGCTGCAGGCTGTGTCCGACGGCAAGGTCGATTTTCGGATCGACACGAGTCAGGTGCAGGCGGCGAGGGCGGCGATTGACTGGAATAGCAAGAAAGCAGGTGCGTGGTTCTTGGTTACCTTTCACACAGGGTGTTGATGAAGCTCGTTTGCTCAGATGATGATGATATCGAGACTGCTATATTTGTCAAATTCCACGACATGGACATGGAGGTGGAACCCGAGCGGCAGCAGTCGGACGAAAGCGCCTCACGTGTGATGCCCGTCGATCTGGAACATGAAGTGAACTGCAGAAAGGTCAACGAGGATACATTGGTTAGCTGTTCAGCGTGTCTGGCCGAGGACTGGAACGCGGTATTGTCTTCCGCAGACGATCGAGCTGTGTTACAGCTGGTCCTCGACACAGTTGAAGCCGCGTGCTCCGGCGGCATGTCCAAGAGGGCTTTGCTGGTGAGTCGAGAGTCTCTTTCTGCCATTCGGTCCCACTCATTCACTGCCACGAAGGCACAAACCAATTTGTCTCCAGTGTCCTTGCAATCTGTTGTCAAGGCCATCACCGAGGCCGCTGTGCCTCGTCTCTTTTGGTTGGGGTATTCCGGGATGGTGCTGGTTTCTGCCGCCTTCCTGGAGTCGTGGACTGTGCAGTTATCGGGAACGACGAGGGCATTCCCGCGCCGCTGGCTTGATTTCACCGGCTCCAAGGTGACCGATCTCTGGGAGGCTGCGCTGCACGCTGTCATGGGTGTGTTGGTGTTCCATCCAGGAATCACCCAGGTGCGCCGGGCCTTCTGCTTTCTTTGGTATACTGGGCCGTCCGCTGACGATCCACGCCAGGCCCTGCTCCGCTGGCGCTTGCGCTCTGTGTATGATCGACAGGAAGTCAACGAGCTGCTGAAGTACCTGTGTGATGAAGGGTTCATTGCGGTGCGAGGGTCCGGGTCCGGCTTGGAGGCCGATGACGAGGAGGAGCATCGAAATTATCTGTTCGTCGGGACTAAGAGTTGGTACAGTGTCTGAAAAGTAGTGTAAGACAACTTTAATGTACAGTAGGCGTGTCGAAACTAGTCGGATATCCTGTGATGCCTACAACAGGGCTTCGCACATCCACCGGAAAGCATGGAATGCCTGGACTCAGAGGAAGGCGAGCGTGTCAGTGTTGCATGCTGGTTGGTGTATTATCACATTGGCAGTCCGTGTGGCAAATGTGCTCCAGAGTACAAGGGCGGAGCCGCTGGACGCCTTCTCCATTGTTGAAGCCTTTCAGCATCATGTGCTGATGGACCATCAGTGCAATCAAACTAGAAAGCGTCGCCCTTGGCGACTGAATGCCTTGCTTGAGTAACATACAATGACATTGCATGCCAATGATAAGTAACTATGCATAATCGCGTAGAGTTCCAACCTTTTCTCTTTTGTGAAAGTAGCACTGGCCCTAAAATAAATGAAATCGGTTACAAATGTTTAAGAAACTGTTTAAAACCTTTTAAACGATTAGTTATTTGAGGCAAAAGGAAAATACGAAATCAGCGGTGCATTAAATGAGGAAACAGATCTAGATTAAGATGAAATGAACGAATACAATAGAGGGAACTAAAAATTTCAAAGACTGAAGCAATCCAGCAAGGCGGGGAGCTGCATGTGCAGGGTCAATTGGATGAGCAATGAGCAGGAGCAAGTCAGCAGTAAATTGAATTAAGTTGTGGCAGCGGTGTGAGACATGTTTAGGAACGAGGTATGAGCGGGAATTCAGTAAAAGAGACTAGGGACAAGTGTGCAGGGAAGTTAAGACACAGGATCAGTTAGCCCCAGAAGAAACCATTTAAACATTTACTAAATTTTTGTTTATTGTGTATACCATGCCCTAAACAAAATGAAAATAAAAATAGTTATAACTGTTTAAAACACTATATTGAAGACGCGAACATGAAGTGCACGAACAAAAAAGGATGGAGCGTGCTTTATGGGACGCGTGTGTGGTCGAGTGTACCATTGTAAGCCACGCACGCCTCGGGAGAACACGGAACAGCGTCACCGGATCAACAAGGCCATCAAAAAGAGCGAATTATGAGTGTGGAGAGTGCCTTGACAAGCAAGGCAATGGAGAGTTTGCTACCCTCTTTCGTAGAGACTTCATGACTGCCTTCTGTATTGCTCGATTCGATTCAGATATTACTCGTCGAGCATCATCTCAGTGCAAAACAAGCGCTCGCTGTTGAAGCGATGCGTATATAATTATCAACTTCCGCTGGGTTTCCTATCCTGGAGCCGCGGCCAATCACTCTTGTTAGCTTGATATCGTCTTATCTCTGGCAGCCCTCCATAAGGACGGATTTGTCGGTAGCGACGAGTTGAAGCCGTTGGTCTCCCGAAGCGTCCATGTTTGCCGCCGTCACCATCACTCTTGTCCTGCCCTTGGTTATAGCACACCAGCATCACCTCAACGGCGCGGTCGCCGTCGCGGACGTGACAACCAAAGAATGGTACACGAAGTTCGGCCCCCAGGCCGACCTGCCCTTCAGTGGCCCGGCGAGCTTCAACCACTTCCCCTACGCGCGCTGCCCGGAGGACGCGCGCGATGCCTTCGACATCGCCATCCTGGGCTTCCCGTTCGACAACACCGTCACGAACCGCCCCGGCGCGCGCTTCGGGCCGCGCGCGATACGGATTGCGAGCGGGGGGGCTGGGTACACGCTGGCATGGGGCACGAGTCCGATGGACTGGGGCAGTGGGGCGCGCGGATCATGGATTGCGGAGATGTGCGTCCGCGTCGATCCGTCGATGTCGATATGCGTTGAGCTGCGGGCAGGTGCCGCTGTCGGCGTTTGACAATGCGCAGGCTCTGGACCAGATGGAGGTCGCGTACTCGACGCTGCTTGGTCGGCCGGTGCAGGGGGAGACCAAGTCCAGTACGGCTGCTTTGTCGAAGGACGGCAGAGAGCACCCGCGTATCGTCACGCTTGGGGGCGACCATACTATTGTGCGCTTCACGGATGCTCTTCGTACCGCTCCCTGAACTGCGGCAGGTTTTACCCATTCTTCGATCTCTTCACCAAGTGTACGGTCCAATCTCTGCAAGTTTCTGATGGCTGTGGATCCCTGCCTCAACTGATCCGTTCGCAGGTCATCCACTTTGATGCGCACTTTGACACGAGCATGATTACCACTGACGGTCCTGGTCGCCTGCACCACGGCTCTTATTTCACCATCGCTCACGAGGAGGGACTGCTATCGAATACGAGTATTCATGGCGGGATCAGGCAGCATGCAAGTGCTGGGATCTCTGCTCCGGCTCTAGACCTGACATTTGTCCAGAAAGAGAGGTCGATTATCCCCCATGACGAGTCCCTTGGATTCGCTGTGATCACCACCGAAGATCTGGACGACTACGGTCTCGAGGCCGTGGTGAGAACCATCCGCCGACGAGTCGGAAACACCCCCGTCTACCTGAGGTGTGTCTGTCACATGTTCCTGACCGTATCCGTTCTTAAACTTTATGCAGTCTGGATATCGACACCATTGACCCCGGAATGGCCCCTGCCAGTACGTCTCCCTGACGTTCTTTCCCAGCCGTTCATCTAACTGGTGCGTAGCGGGCACTCCTGTTGACGGTGGCTGGAGCACACGCGAGATGAAGCGGATCCTGCGGGGCCTTTCAGGGCTCAACTTTGTGTGAGTGACTTTGGGCACGTGCGTGTCTGCTCTGACACTGCAGAACCAGTGGATGCGACGTCGTCGAGGTCTCACCGGCGTACGATCTCGCTGAGATCACGTCTAGAGCGGCTGCTGGGTTTGTCAACGACTTTTTGCAGATGATGCAGATGGAGACGCCGCCGAAGCCGCACTCGGGCCCGTTTCTGGAATGAGTCGACTAGAATTTGAGTTTGTGCATGTCCATTAGAGACGAGCAATAGTCTGCATGTCAGACCATGAGTGCGCGAGTGGGTGATCGGTCCTGATAATTTCTGAGTCCATTGAATGATTCCCAGCTTCGTGCGCACACCCAAGCTATGGATAGCAGATCCGTTGAGACAATTGTGCACAGAAAGTTGTCTTATCTTGAGGGTGTGAACGTGAAGCGTGGAATGAGGATATATCCCCGCTTAGCTCAGCTGGAAGAGCATCAGACTGTAATGTTAACCTTGTGATCTGGGTGTCGCCTGTTCGATCCAGGCAGCGGGGATGTCTTTTTGAATCTGTCCCTTGATAGCTATCCATCCTTATCTGGTGGTGCATCTTTGGTGTGGTTCACCTTGCCATCGTTAGACTGTAATCGTGTTCACCTTTGCCATTTACTGACTTGACTTGATGGCGTGCCGACCTATTCATTTCAATGATCTATTGAGGCTTTGAATGTCCCCTTGATGAGGTTGTTAAGTGATTTCAGAGCAAGGTTTATGACGGTGGTCGCCACAGTCGTCCACTGGTTCCAGCTTTATCCTGATCTTGGAGCCCGGCCAGTCTCGTCAAGGAACAGGTCGGCCAGAACGCGCGAGTTCATATCTGGATCAAGCCTCGATCATGAGGCTTCGAAGAATGATCGAGATGATGACGTCTGCATTACGTGAAACCCAAATTCTCTGCCGGTCATTCGCGTGTTCTGTCTCACTCAGCCTTGCCGTTCTCCCTCATGCAAGTTGCCGGCTAGAGGTTGGCCAGACTCAAATGAAGTTCTTCTCGCAATCCTACTCGTACGAGTGAGTGGTCTGCTCGTTGCTGAACCCATTCTCATCTCTCCCAGCGATTCGTGGCCAATTGTTACACTCGCTTTCTTCCTTCGCTATCCCAATCCATACGCTTCTCATGTTCTTTCGTGCGATGTTGTCTCTCGTTCCATCACGCCTACCGGCTCTCTCTTGACCACTCGCCTCATTCTGAAGCGGGGGGCTATGCCGCGTTGGTTTCCTCAGGGCATCGTCGCACGCGCCGAGTCGTGGGTCGTGGAAGAGACCGAGGTCGATCCTGTAGCACGGACAGTCAAATGCAAGACAAGAAATCTGGACCATGTGAAGGTCATGCAGGTGGAGGAGAGTGTCGTATTTCGTTCCCTCTCTGATGGGTGAGTACTCATCTCCGTGCTTGTTGTCATGCGTCTCACGGTCCACATAGCACTACTCTGCAGCACACGGAGGCAGAGATACGTAGCCGGTTCGGATGGGGGCTCACCAAACGAATTGAAAACCATGGTCTGAACAGGTTCAAGGCCAATGTTCAAAAGGTGCGTAATTCTCAATGCCAGCAATCTATCGACATTGACTGGTGGCAGTCGCGTGAGGGTGTTTCCATGATCGTACAGCTCTTGCGCCAATCCAGACTTCAACCCATGGGAATGGGGGTGTCAGTCGACGTGCCTGTGTCCTTCATCGAACCCCGATCCATCTCCACCAATGCCGTTGGAACTATTGAGCACTCCGGCGACGACAATCACGAGCCTGCTAGCCACGTAAATCGTCCCAAAAACACATGGTCCCAGTCTCTCAAGTCGTGGTTCTCACCCCCCCGCTCAAATTGACCGACAGACCGCTGTACTTGTATCCGTCGCATACGATAATTTGCTGTATCAGTATTAGTTTAGTGAAAGAACAATCCCTTGACACCTTTCGAACTATGAACGTGTGCCGGATCTTTCCTGGTTCTTCTCTCTCATCTTGGCCGACGGTTTGAGCTCGCGACACATCGCCGCCGCGGCTGCCCGACATCCGACTGTCAACCCACAGGAGTTTACGCGAATCTTCATGTCTTTCTCATGTACTTTCCTACAACAACAGCTCAACAGCTCGCCTCCATCCCCGCCCTTCCGAACATCCCGCCAGAGACAGAAAAGCTCATCGCCCTTGTTCCTAGTCCGAAGAAATCACTCTTTTGCACGCTGAGTCGGACCGGCATTTCCATATGGCGTGTCAGGGTACGTTCAAGCGCCACGTCCCCAGCTATTGCAGATTGCCTGACGACCACCTCCAGCCCTCAGCAGTCCTAGCATATCTTTCTCGGACGCCGGCGTCAGTGCTTGACCACGGGGAGAACGTCGCTGCGCACTGGGCGCCAGATGGAGGCAGAATCATCATCCAGGTTCAATGCTCCCAAGTCCTCCGGCGCGGAGCACGTTGCTGACAAGCTTTTATATAGACATCTCTATCCTACCTAGTTCTTGTCACCGTCGTTTATCAGGCCGACAGGTCGATCTACGTCCCTCCAACTCTTCCCAGCTCCAGTCGAAACTATTTTCTGCCCGGCCCGGGTGAAGGGCTGCCTCTGCAGTGTGTCAGCTTACGGTTCGAGGGTGTTATTCGCGTCAACGGGGGCCTCTTATGGTGCGTTGGCTGTGGTTCATGATCTTGTTGCTGAGCAGAACAGTGTATCTCCACGCAAGCAATTTATCTTGTTCTCGACTAAAAATCCTCCCACGGTCCAACGCATACCATGGCCAGAAGTGGAGGACGACGACGAGGAAGAGGAAGAGGACGACGAAACCGGGCAACCGCGCAAGGTCACTTTCGCGACGCACGAGATGTGGTCTTGCAACGAACACGAGTTTAATTTCTTCGTTGAGAGCGACGGTACGTTGCCAGACACGGACCCTGTATCATACTGACTTTGGCTCAGTCCCTGTGACCAAAATCCTGCAATCTCGGACTCCTGGTGTGGAGACCTGGATCACGTCGGATGGAAGAGCTTATTTCGTCACGCTGAACGAGAGTACGATCGAAGAGAATGGGGATCAAGAAGTGAGCCAGACCGTGCTAGTCCTCTATCCCCTTGATTGAACGGCGCCCCAGTTTGGCTCGAACGAATCTGAACCAGCGGCAGCCAAGCCCAGATGGCAAGGCGTAGCCATTCACGACTTCGAAACCCCACGATGGGTGCAGAAGTCGCGTCGCGTGGATCCTGATCCTGAGCACGAGACTGATCAAGAATCGATATCTTCGGGCGCCGCGAGCATCGTCAGCAAAGGAACGGAGCGCGCCATCTACGACGAGCCGCGTCGCGCAGTAGCAGTCGCCATTAACAGCAAGTTCTCGCTCGTCGCGGTGGGTATGTCGGGCGGCGGTGTTCGGTTCACGCCCTTCCCCTCAGATTTCTCGTCGGCGACCCCACCCCCGATACCTGTCGACGTTCCGGCGCAATTGGGTCCCGTTTGTTCTATGGAGTGGAGCGGTGACGGATATGTGCTGGCGGTTGGTTCGCAGAATGGCTGGGCGATCTTCAGTGTGGGCGGTCGATGTCTGGCTCGGAGTGTAGCCCTCGAGGATGCTGACAAAAGTCTCGACACCTCCAAGTACGCGTCCCTACCGTGGGTTCCCAACCTGAGCTGATAGGCGCCGCGCAGATTCCAGGATACCTTCATGTTCGGTGTCAGGGATCTGGTCAGTCATTCCAGCAACAATATCACCCTACAACTGACATATTGCAGTTTTGGGCACCTGGGAACTTTGAAATGGTAGTGTGTGCCCAACCGTCACAGCAGCGTGAGTCTGAGTCTCGTTCATTGAGGGCATCACAAGTCTGACAGAGATGCAGAAGTTGACGGTCAGCTGTTTGTCATCCCTTTTGCGAAGAGCGCATCCACGGGTCAGCTGGCACCAGACAACACACGCTACGCGTTTCTGCAAATGGATGACCGCGCTCTGGTGTACCGAGGAGCTGATCAACCCGACATGAGCGTCATCAATCCAGAGTCCGATGTTTGGCAGCATATCAAGGTATACTAGGTCACCGCTAGCCTGTCTATATGCCTCACACTTTTGTTTTAGATTCCACAGAGTTACCTCGCCACCAACTGGCCAATCAGATATTCGTCCCTCAGCAGCGACGGTCGTCTGATTGCCATAGCTGGGCGGCGAGGCCTCATTCACTACAGCTCGACGTCTGGACGCTGGAAAATGTTTGCGGACGAGATCCAAGAGCAAGCATTCATAGTCAAGGGCGGAATGGTCTGGTTCCATCATGTTCTCATCGCTGCTGTCGAGGTAGCCAAGACATATCAGGTCGGTCTCACTCTTAGTGTTGGCGCCGGTTTTGCTCATGCACCCAACAACAGCTTAGACTTTATTCGCGAGATTTGGAACTCAGCAACCAGCACGTGCTCCACCGTGAAATCGTCCCGAGCCCTGTTGTCATCCTTTCTCTGGTCGACAATTCGCTACTGGTTTACACAGCTGACAACACGTTGTATCACTATCTCATCGTCCCGACCTCGGACACGATCAAGCTGCATCTGTGTGGCAGCATCACGTTTGAAGGGATCATCGCTGCGCCGGGGGCAGTTCGCATGCTGAGTTGGATGATCCCCACTGCTCAAAAGCGTGAGTGGGCAAACTGCCACATCTACTCGTGTTTTGACGCCTGTGTTCAGAACTGGGGGATCCGGTCGAGGATCTTGCTGCGGCGACTGTGCTGATGGTGGTAGGCGGCCAGCTCATTCTGCTCCGTCCTCGAAAGGTCAAGTCTCTCGTGCGCACTAGTGAATGTTCGCTCATCGTATTCCAGTCAGGCGACCAGGAAGTCAAGTATGACATGCAGATATTCGCAGACAGGATTGAGTTCTGTTGGATCCACTTGCGAGGGATCGACACACTCGAAAACTCGCTATGGGCCTATGACGGACAGGGCATTCGCGTTTGGTTGAACGCGTTGGCGATCGAAGCTCCACAATCACAAGATCAGGATAATACCGTCAAAGAAAGTGTGAATATCCCGCTTGACTTTTATCCACTGTGTTAGTCTAGATTCATCGATTGAAAGTACACTCAACTGACGTACTTTCCCAGCTGTTCTGATGGACAAGGGGATCATCATTGGTGCGGAGTATGAGGTCGCGACACGCTCCAATCTGCCGTTCGCCATATTCCGACATGCCACGAGTGTGAGATTGTTTTCAATCCGGTGTCGGCTTTCTGCTAACCCAGGGCACAGTCTCATCTTTTCCTGCACCACATTCTCCTGTTCCATCTACACGCGAATCAGGTCAACGAGGCGGTGAGCCTGGCGTCCTATTACCAGAAGCTCGTCTTCTTCGCCCATGCATTGGAGATTCTCTTGCATACGGTCGTGGAGTCGGACGACCACGAAAACGACCGTGCGGAATCTGAAGCACATGACGTGCTCCTGCGTACCGTCGTCGAGTTTCTGGATCATTTCGATGCCGCGTTGGATGTGGTCGTCGGTTGCGCTCGGAAGACTGAAATGACGCGGTGGAAGCGCTTGTTCAACATCGTTGGAAACCCAAAATTGTTGTTCGAGGTATTCGCATTTCCTCTCTCGGTATTTGTTCACTTTCCCTCACATGATCTCGCGCAGACATGTCTCGAATCTCAGCAACTCAAAACGGCCGCATCGTATTTGCTTGTGCTGCACAATCTGGAACAGCTGGACGAGAAGCACAACGACGTCAATCGACTGTTGCGGACCGCGGCGGCCGCAAAAGACTGGCAGCTCTGCCGTGAGCTGCTCCGCTTCCTGCACAGCGTGGATGACTCGGGTCGAGCACTCCGAGATGCGATGGAGCAGATCGATCTCGACGGCACACGCGACGGGAGTGGTGAAAGCAGGACTGCAAACGGGAACGGAGGATGAACTCATCTCGGACTGGTACTGGCTGGGTATTTATCGTTATCATTGGATGTAATTATAACATCGCGCTGTATGATTGTGTGATTAGATTAGATGATTGGATTGGCTTCATGATCGACAAGGGACGAACACATGCGTCGGACTGCAATCATCTGCTTCGCGTGATAGACCGACTCTTGGCTTACTTGTCTGCGTCCCTCCCAGCATGGTACCCTTTCGCGCCCTCATCTCCCGCTCACCCCGACTGAATCTATTCTCAAGACAGACGATATAACGTACACTCCCGAAGGGGCGGTGTCGATCACATACCAGCAGCTGCTTTCCTCTCCGCTTTCGCTCGGCAAATCCATCGGTGCGCGTCGTGGATTTCCTGCATCTCGAACCTAGCGCTCATCGACTGCCGTCCCGATCTCATTTCCAGAGAAAGCTTTTGGGTCTGGGCCCCACAGTCTGGGGATCGTCGTCGTGCGAGGTTCAAAGCCGATCTCCAGCGTTTCTCTGATTGACTGACCGACCCCGCCTCTGTTGACATGTAGATCTCCCAGCGACGTATGTAGGCTACCGCGAGCGTCTACTCAAGGCTCGTACCCATCTGCGTGCGTTCTGGGCTTGGCGTTGACTAGTACTCTCCAGCTCGCGTATGCGTTCGCGACACTGGACGAAGCGACGCGCGAGAAGTACGCCGACGCCTCGAGTCGGTACAGGTACGTCGTGCCTGCCGTCTCTCTACTCTACCACCCTGACTTCGCGCGCGTAGCTTTGGATGGAGCCACGGAAAGGTGCGGTCACATCCCGCACATCCATAGGCTGATGGCTGAGACGTGCGGGGTGGGCAGGAAATCATGAACGGTAAACCCGATCTTCTAAAGGGCTCGTACTACGCCAATCCCGTGGTCGACGCGCCTGACGTGCCAGAGGATCTGAGGCAGGAGTATCCTGAATACCACAGTCACAACATCTGTGCGTCTCGTCTACGATATCGGTGTTTAAGATCTTCCTGTTCATCTCATGCCTGACAGGGCCTGCGGCGGATGAACGTGGTGTGGAGGGTTTTGAGGGGGCTTTCAAGCAGCTTGGCCGGTAAGATGCTTCCGAGGCTCGCCGTCGTTTTCGAACTCTGAACGTCAACTTAGACTCATCTTCGAGATCGGATGCCAGCTCGCGGTCGCCTGCCAGCCTTTCGGTGAGCCTCCCCGCAACCACAGAATTTGTACCCTGTTCCTCATCCGCTGGCACCGGCAGCCCTCTCGCAGCTGAACGACACCAGCATGTCGCTCCCGGAGCTCATCAGCACGTCCAACACGTCCAAGGCGCGCCTTCTGCACTACTTCCCGCCGCCCGAGCAGACTGCTGCGTCGTCCGGCGCAAGCGACGAGGCGGTGGATGACTGGTGTGGATGGCACCTGGACCACAGCCTCCTCACGGGTCTCTGTTCGGTGCGTCCAACCTTTTGCTTGCTCGGTGCCCGCAGTGATTCTATCCCACTCACAGGCGATGTACCTGCAAGAGACCGACGCCGAGCCGACGATCGTGCCCTCTCCGTCTGCGGCATCGGGGCTGTACATCCGGACCCGGGGCGGCAGTCTCACGAAAGTCGCGATCCCGGCGGATTGCCTGGCGTTCCAGACGGGCGAGGCCCTGGAAGTGGCCACCGGCGGGCGTCTGCGCGCGACGCCGCACTGTGTGCGCGTGGGTCCCTCCGAGGTGCCTGGGGCAGCGAAGATCAGCCGCGAGACGTTCGCGTTCTTCCTGCAGCCGGATGTGAACCAGAACCTGTCTGACTCGATGACGTTCGGGGAGTTCAGTAAAAAGATATTCGACGAGCATTACGACGATGTTCAGAAGTGACTCGAGTAGAGTGGTGGAACAACGTAGAATGGTGGAAGAACGTAGAAAAAACCTTGTTGAATGAGTATTAGGAGTACAGAATGTGTATGTATATGGGCAGTACATCTAGCATATCTAGTCATCAGCATTAGCTCGGCGTGTCGTTGCCTGTCGAAACAGTGCGTTGTCGTCGTGAAGAAGAGGGCAGCACAGACATGACCCCCGTCACAGCAGCAGCCAGACTGTTCCGCTTCGACGACCGCTCCCGCTCCCGCTCCCGAGGCACCTCGCTGTGCTGTGAGCTGACCGACATCCGCCGGGTCTCGTAGTCGGAGATCACGCTCCAGTCCTCGCTGCCGGCGGGTGCCGACCCGCTCGAGCTGTACCCCGACTGGCTCTTGCGGATCGTCGAGTGCTCGGGGTCCTCCGTGTCTTCGTCCGAGTCCGCAGCGCGCTTGATCAGCGACCGCGCGTATTCCATGTCCCGGTAGATCGACTCGATGGCCGTCGCCACGCCATCTTCGCCCCGGATATTCTCGCCCATCAGGCGCGCGCGGTCGACTTGCTTGATGTCCGTCGTCGCAGACACGAGCGCGTCCGTCAGCGTCTCGACGGTCAGCTTCCTCACACCCGTCCCCACACCGAGGGCCTCGACCCGGTCTGCCCAGAAGAACTGGTCCCCGAAGAACGGGCGGATGATCGTCGGGATCCCAGCGCGCAGGCTGGCTCCAGTCGTGCCGGCCCCACCGTGATGACAAGCAGCATCGATCCGTTTGAACAGCCAGTCATGCGGAATCGAGGAGATCGGGTAAATCTCCTTCGGCAGAGGTTCTTCTGGCTCGGACGCATCCTTGTCTTGCAGCCGATCAGACCAGCCTTTGGAAAGGATCGCTCGCACGCCACTGCGCAAGACAGCATCGACGACGCAACGAGTCATGGCTTTGGGATCCGATACAATGATGCTTCCGAAGCCGATGTAGACCACCTTCTTTCCCTCCGCATGTGCGTTGTCGATGAACGAAACAAGATCGGCTGGTGGTGTCCATTTCTTCGCACTGACGTCTGCCTCCTCGAGAATCCAATACCCTGTCGGCATGATTAGCAGATGCGTGTGTGCTTTCACGGGCCCGTCATACCAGTCACCCGAATCCACTCTGGCCAGTCCAACGGAGGAGGCACGATATGAGGGCTGAAGTTGTAAAGGAAAGGAATCTTGTGGGGCTCCATCTTGTCTAGATTTGTGCTGCCCAAATTCAGTGTATTGCGCCGCCAGCGATTGATTTGTCCCGAAATGGCCCGCCAGAACACCTGGTCAAACATGACATAGGTCATGTAGTTGTAGCCCCCGCCCATCTAGAACACGTGAGCCTACTGACAGCTCAAAAAGAAATAGGACCATGTACCTTGCGCTCTGGCACAGCGAATGCGTGTGGATAAGCCCTGGTGCGCGTCCAGGTCATGGTGAAAGCCCGGAAGTACGGGATAGCCAGCGCCTCGGCAATGTGATATCCCCCCATCGCACTCGGACTCTCGATGAGCACGTCCGTGCCTTGGCAGGCATCCCACGACTTGAGCAGCAGATCGTCCAGCCATCCCCGGAACTTCTGCAGGCCCTCCTTCAGGAACGACACGGTGAACGTCCCGTTCTCGATGCAGATGCGCATCAGCTCAGCAGGGTCTCCGCCCACATTCCCGAATTCGATCCCGTGCGCTTCGATCCAGTCCTGGAATTCCCCGTGCGTCGCAATCCGACAACGATGGCCGTCTGCCATCAGGCCCTTCGACAGTGCAATGTAAGGTTGCACATCGCCCCGGGATCCAATCGTCAGGAACGTGAAATGGAGACTGCGCCGCGGTTTGAACGTCAGGAAAGTCGACGATGCGCTCGTGAACATCAGCGCCGGCAGCGAATCGGACATGCTTTCGCCCGTGGGAAGGTTGCTGATCGAGCTTTCAGGCCCAAACTCTTCCAGAATCAGCGCATCGCGTTTGCCAGGTGAGACCTTGTCCCCGAAGGCCTGTCTCCTTCGCGCGTCGTCCATCTGGCGCTCGAGCAAGGTCCGGAAAGCCTCGCGTTTGTCTTCCCCACCGAACTCGAAGAACAGTTCTTCGTGGCCTTTGACTATGATGATCAGCCCATGGTGGCCGAATCGGGTGGCTTTCGTCTTCTCTGCAGACAGAATGTCGCGGATCGGAAGCGTCATCTAATGTCAATCAGTCACGTCAAATTTCGACTCAGTCAGCTGCACTCACGCGGGTCTTTGCAGTGAGCGGTCCAGTCGACTTGAAGCAGAAATAATTAGTCGAGATATACAGCCGGCCAGGGACCGGGAGAAGCCGGAATAAGTAGCCGGGGAAATCTGCGGAAGTTGAAGACTGGAGCGCAAACAGAGACCACAAGCACTCACATCCGAGGAGAGTCTCCTTCTCGTCATACGCAAAAACAGTCCTGAACTTGTCCTGCATCTCCGGATCGGGTGCGCCGTCTGGTGTCTCCAGCACACTGAATGCGAGATCGCCCAGCCCGCTGCCCCTGCTCGTGGGCACAGCCGGCAGCGACGTGGAATAGACCTCTCTCACGGCCGACGGGTCAGAGGAGCTGCCTCCGAAGACTCTCCGCGGACCGCGCAGCCAGGACGGCACTCCCATGCCCATGCTCCACCCGCTGGCACTGCTCTCGCTATTCAACGACGGGTCAGTTCCATTGCGGCACGGAGAAGGGGACGGAGGGTACGTGTGTTCATGTCCACTGTTGGCGGTGGCCTCCGGCCCGGGTTCAGAGACCGGTGAAGCCGTCGGCACGAACGACCCAGCGCGTTTCGAAATGTGCGTGAATGCTTCCGGCTCAGACGCTGGGGCCGACACCGTCGGCCGTCCGAGTGAGATCCCTTCCTGGAATGGCCGCAGCAGCGACGAGATGCTGAACGACGGGATCACTCGCGGAGGTGTCTGAGTGGTATCAGGCATGCTCTGCACCCGCTCCGGATGCCGCGGTGAGGTCGTGTCCATCAGTGCCTGCGGCGAGCCTTGCTCAGGTAGAAGACGGTGGGTCCGCACTGCATCACGAATCTGGTCCAGCGCCGTCGTCAAGTCGCTGAAGTACGCGAAGAAGTACGAGTCGATCGAGAACTGGCCCTCCTTGTCGAACACCTTGACTTCGATCGTCTCACTGAAGTCCATGGCAGTCGATTTGTCGACATCCAGGATGGCAGAATAGGGAATGGCAATCTTCACACTGTCCCCCGTGTTCTGAGCCTTGAAGATGACTTTGCGAATCGCCTTGACCCATTCGTCGCGACTCGGTGCAGAGGGTGCAGACAAAACGATCGTCTTCGCGTTCGTTCGCACCTGGAAATCCCGATCATTGATCGCGTCACAGCCCATCGCCCATCGCAGATCAAGAATGCCATGCGGGAAATACGGATCGGAAGAAGACTGGTACCAGGAGAGAGCATCGTTCTTCAGCACAAACCAGTGCTTGACCCATCGCTTCGTGCGCTGCGCTTTCTTATTCAGAGAGCCCGATTTCAGAACTTGGTCCTGAGATGAAGTTAGCAAGCGGGGATACAGACGGTCAACCAGCACATACCTCTCTCGCTGGGACGTGTGCAAAGAAGCAGAGATATGAGTTCGTCAAGTACATGAATCCTTGCAGCACTGGGTCCTCTGTTTAGTATTCACCGTCCAATCCATTCAAAAAATTCACTTACGGACTGAGCGCAACAGCCAACACGGTAGCTCAGACACCACTTCGTCGATCGTGTCCAATTCAAAGATCTGCCTCAGCTTCTGTGCCAGTCGTGCTCTCCTCTGCAACTTCACAGTTGCCACGCTTCCGGTCCGCAGCATACTAGGCGGGATCGGTGCAGAGTTGCTGAGCTGCAAACGCTCATGTAAACGTAACGGTCGTTCGGCGTAGGGCGGTCGTGGTGTGGTATCCGGTTCGAAATCTTCTACGTCCGGCTCCTCTGAAGAGTCCGGTGTATCGGATGTGGCTTCCTCCTCGCTCAGAGTCGACTGGTTGTAGGATGGCAGCCCTTTCCTCCGACCACTCAGAGCTGTAGAGCGCTGGGAACGATATATTGTGTGGATGGATGAGGCGAGGCGATCGGCTAGATGCGGCGTCGAACGAGATCATCGTCATAGGATCGATATCACTCACGTCCCTTGGGCCTCTCCTCTTCACTATCGGAATCGGGTATAGAACCGAGAGACGGTAGAGCATCTCCATCTGCGTCTTCGTCAGCTTCCATCCATGGCACAGCTTGCAGTGCCTGAATGAGCGTTTGCGTTCCGGCACGCATCTGCAAAACGTTAAGCGCTGCCGACATGAGGTGATGTAAGACTGACGGAGCCTCCACCACGAAACGAGTCATTGAGATTGAAGGTGGGACGAGTCGGTTTAAGCGAGGGAGAGGGTGGGGTGATGAAGGGAGAGTCGTCATTGAGCTGATCAGGAGCTCCCCTCGGTGAAGCTGGCTGGGATGCGCTTGGAGTGCTAGCAGCAGACGAAGAGTAGGAATCTGAATACAAGCGCGGTTGAGAAACGTCGATAATGCCGGCATGGGACGAAAAATGGAACGACTACAAGGGGAGTCACTGCGGACGCCACCCCCGTAATACGATTGCGGGATGGGTACCACAGGACACAGCAACATGATAAGAGCGAAAAGATTTAGTACGCACCATTTGGATCCTCCTCTCGCTCCTTGCCCTTTCGACCGCTCCCTGGACCTGCCTTACGGCTCAGGCTGAATATACGGCGATGCTTGGGTGACGTTGTCTGTGATGACGTCCCACTTGCACCCTTGGAAGGGGAGCCGGACGGCGGTGTACGCGCGCTCAGACTGCGCCCGAGCTTGTTAACGGTCTTCTCCATAGAGTTTGACAAGCGCTTCGCCTTGCTGCTGCGCGTGCGGTCCTCTGATAGGCCCAATGTGTCGGGAGAGGTGTCCACAAGGATTGCAGGAGACACAACCGAGGGTATGTGTGCCATACTGGCACTCGGGGCAGTAACAAGTATTGCACCAATGGAATGCAAGAGGAAGCTGAAGACGTCTAGGAGAGGCGAGGCTCGTAAACAGATACACGTCACGTTCCCTGTTAGCGTCACAAACTAGGCCGCTCATTTAGATAAGATAATGGGCAGATCTGGGAGTGATCGGATCAGTGGCGTAGATGCGCGGAGTGCACGGTTTGTGCTGAGGTCATAACTACGGAGCGAATGAGCCACTAGCCAGAATGAGCCTATGCAACCATCATCAAGGCCTCAAGGCTCCAGTCATTGCAGAGACCTGATGTCTATGAAACACTAATGCACTCTCTTGTACAACATGTGATTGCGGCTCCGCTTGGAACCATTCTAATGAGCTGTACCAGCCAACAGGACTCTGGCGTTCAATAAAGACAGAACTATGGACGCACACAGACGGCTCTGGGATCAAATACCCAGACAAATGCCGCCAAACGGTCGTCCCAAAGCGCCAAGACCTTATATGCTCCGATAGTCACGTGTCTTCACGTGCGAACAACGTTGCATTCGCGCGTCAGCCTTCAAGTGCCAGTGGTTTCCGGGGTGTGGTTAGCGCCTCGTCTCTCTGTTATTACTATGCGCGGTGAAGTCTGTGTGGGATCAGCTAGTATCCTGTCGTATGTTTTCTCTCTGAGATCGTACTCATTGCTCAGCGCCGTCCAGCATCGCATCCCTGCTACTTTTAATATTCGTCCATGTCAGCCCACTTTTGACGTCAGTGGAAGTAGCGAGGAGCTGAATGCAGTGTGTAGATTGGTCAAACGAGCACTCACGGAGCACCGGGGTCTATATCATTGGTGCGTTCTGCCTGGTCTAATCAGTCAGCAACCTGGATTGATTGTACGCAGGTCAAGATCAATGTATCTGATTATGGGTTCGTACATGCCTTCTCCAACTCCATGTCGCCATTCCAAACCATCGCCTGCTATCAGCGCCTCCTTGAACGCAGCTCTGTTCGACCCCATCGACGGTTTATATACGAATAACGCCTCCGCCCCGCTCAGTGCGGGACACGGTCTACGACAATCTTACGCATTCGGTCTCTACTCATTCTGCGGTTACATCAATGCATCGCATGGAACGTGTTCGAACCACTCCATCCAGACAGAGTTCACGCCTCTTGACGCACTGACGGGGGACATGTTACCCAACTACACCGATGTGACCAGATTCATCTTCGACGGGACGCCATTTGCAGATTCGGGCTCATTTGCTCACTCCTCGCGTGCCGCATACTGGATGATCTTCTTGGGCACCATCTGTGCTGCGTTGTCAATTCTAACGTGCGTGGATCGTGCACTTACTTACCTTGTATCGCAGCTTACTCGTTACCCAGCGGTGTCGCCAAAGCTTATCTGACTTTCTTCCTATCTACCATATTTTCCTTCCTTGGCAGCATATTTCTGCTGGTTGGTGCGGCAATCTGGACTGCGATGATACACAAGGCGCAATACGCCAACTCCATCCGCATCGGAACAGCCGCAAATCCTGTCAATGTTCATGTCCAGGTATCCGTCGGAATAGGAATCGATCTACTTTGGGCTGCTTTTGCGGCTCTGTTCATGTCCGTGGTTCCATATATGATCAGGTACTTGAATCACTTCTTCTCGTCTACGACTTTCCTGATGAACGCAGTTGCTGTACGTGGCGAGGATAATGAGCGGCGTGGATGCAGGACATCTTTAGCAAATGCTTCACATAAATATCTTGACGAATGATATCATGTATCTGTTTATTTCTCACATAGAATCTGCAATGAACTCCCTTTACGGGACTTATCTTATCTGTTTGTGTGTGCGATGTTGCTGATTCATCAAATTTTGTCATTCACGCGATGACTGCTCTTTCTCTTGAACGCCCATGTCTATAAACGCGATTCAGCAACAAAACCTGGAAGATGCGTCAACCATAGTGTCAGAGTTCATATATAGTCAGTGGGTACACGCTTATCTGCAACAAACTTCTCAACCCCGTACCTTAGGTCTGGACAATCTGCCGAACGAAGTCGCACATTTGTTGCAGGAAATTCGCGAGAAAGATTCCAAAGTCCAGGGTGTGTGCCACTTTTACTGTTTATTGCTCGACTAGACTTACCTCTGTCTAGAATTACAGCAAGAAATCGATCGCGAAACCTCTCGTTACATCCGACATGCCCTGAAGCCCTCTCCAACACCCGTATCCTCTTCTCCCTCCCCGGCATCTGGCTCAAACCCCACGGCTTCGAGGGACCCCTCACCCAAGTCAGCGCACGTTCCGGGGAAGGTCTCCACTCTCTATGCCACCATACACACATTGTCAAGTGAGAAGATCGCGCTCGCTCAGCGGATCATTGATCTGGTCACACGTACGCGCGCCCGTTTGGACGCCGACCTAACCAAAGTCCGTGTTCTGCATGGGGAACTTCCTGATCCTCGCTCGGGCACTCCTGCATCAGATGTTGAATTGGTTTACTCTGGAGCAGCACGGACACCCAATATGGCTGTCGGTGTTGGGTCGAACGCGAATGCTGCCGCACAGATTAGCGAGAGTTTGCGGAGCGCGATGGTTGGAAGCTCTTCGATGTCCGATCTTCGGCAGCAGGCCCTAGTGACACCGTCGACGCCAGTCTCTGCGGGCCCTGCAGTCAAAAGTTCGTTCGTGATGTCTTTCCTTTGAGTAAACTGACTCGAGCATCGCAGAGCGACGCGTAAATGCGGCTACTCCTGCCATCAAACTCGTTCCAGTGTCGACCCCAACTCCGCCGCGACGCTCTGCTTCACCTCTCACCTCTGCTGTTTCGTCTAGTGCTGCAGCAAACTCACAAAAGCGCTCGCGTCTGTCACGACAAATACCGCTTGACGACCCGATTGACGTGGAAGAGGACGGGGAAGGGGAAGATGAGGGCTTATACTGCTTCTGCCAGAAGCAGAGTTATGGCGATGTGCGTTGCACCTCATCGACGGCCATTCCCGCTCATGCTTCACAGATGATTGCTTGCGACAACGATGACTGTCCCACCGAATGGTTCCATCTATCCTGCGTTGGGCTGACTTTGCCTACCCCAGAGAAATGGTATTGCCGAGAGTGTGTTGATAAAGGCTTTGGTGTCAGTTCCACGCAGCCGGGGAGGAAGGGCAGAAAGCGATAGGATTTCTCTTTCATATGTATATTTCGACCTCTTGATTACGCGCTCGTATCTAGCTATCCTCCTCAGGTTCCAACCCCGTCTGAACTTCAATCACTTGTCCGTCGTCTGCAATGACTCTGAAGCGTACTGTTCAAACGGTCAGGCGCAACTGGCAAGAGGTCGAATGTATTTGAGGACGCACAAATTTCATATGGCATACCCTTGGCTTTCCTAACACTGGTAAAGTAAACAGTGCCAGAGCCTTGAACAGTGAGAAAGAACCGGCGAAAACCATTCGGAGAGATCACCTTTGGAGCCTTTAAGTCGGAAACTAACGTCGATGTTGCCCTGCAATATGTTGATCTGAGGCAAACGGCGTCAGACCACGGAAGCGGAATACGACACAACATGCCTGGCCGTGGATGATCGGGTACCCGTTCAACCACCATTCAGGCTGTGGCCGGATAGCATATCCCAAGACCTCTTGCAAGGGTGCTTCGGCCTTGATTGTGCGCAGAATCTGCTTCACCACGGACGAAGTGACTTTCGTTTCGTTGGTCACATAGGTGAGAAATCCCGCCCAGCCGACCAGCACGATGGCTGTGATACCCAGCACCGTCGGCCAGCGCCGCTTTTTGCGGCAGAGGGTGGGGGTGAGGGTGAGGGCGCAGAATACTCATGCAAATAATGGCGGCACCTCGATTTGCGGCAGTTCTCGATGTCGCTTGAAATTTGAGTACAGGGAAGCAGGCTCGGCGCGTCGCGGGAGTGAAGCTCGGAAGAGCGTTCGCCGGGCACCTATGAGTGTTTCCGGCAGGTTTGCGATGCGGTGAACATGGCAGGGACGGGGCGTCCTAAGTAACAGAGTCCTCGTTAAAGTTGAGTGCATTCTGTGGCCGAGCCGCCATCAGGTGCGCTGATCTAGAAGAAAGTGGTTCGGAAAAGACTAGAATATATATCTTCATATGTACGACTTCTCAGCGCCCGCCTAGCTCAATCGGCTAGAGCGTCAGACTTTTACGGATATTGGATCCTCTGAAATCTGAAGGCTGCGAGTTCGACCCTCGCGGTGGGCTAATGTTCATTTTTCCATTTCAATCCTCAGATCCCTCAATTTCGAGTGAGCCTTGTTTCGAGTCTTATTCAAAACTGCTCTCTGCACAGCCAGAAATTGGTTTTAATCCGAGATGCGTTCCCCCATCCTGATACATTTTACGTGGACAGAGTGGGTATGCAAGTATTATTCCGTCATATCGAATGGGTATCACTATTAGATATCTATGTAGCATGTAGATGAGCACTGTTTTCAAAAGAGTGGAGGGACCATTCGCGTGACTAGAAGCCGATCGGAAAGCACAGCACGCCGAGTGAATAGGCCCAGCAGCGACGGCGGAATTTGCGCAGTGTCCTGGTCATCTAGATCCAGGAAAGATGCGAGATGGTAATGTGTCTAGCACGCTCCGGCATCAACACGGCAGCCAGAGCAAGTGAAGAGGGCTCACCAATGGAGTGCTCCTGTCGGGCAAGTAACGAGTGGGTGAATCCGGAGTGAGCCGGGAGACACACAGGTCCATAAGAGACTGGAGCGGGGCGGAGAACAGGACATCGTCCATAGCTTCCAAGCAGGCTCCGTCCATCAAGAAGAGGCTGCACTGGATCTCGGGCGATTCGATGCGGCTGAGCTCGGCATGAAACAAGGCAGCAGCGCTACTTGTGTAGTCTTCGTCTATGGGCTCGCCGTCGGCAACAGGTAGATCGAACACGGTTCGACGCGAAGAGGGCGAATGAGGGATGTAGAATGGGCTTGTCGGAGTGACATTGATGTACTGCACATCGTCTGGGGCATTGGACTCGTCCTCGGATTCAGGATCCGAATCTGAATCGGACCAGATCAAGTCAGACCAAATGATAGGCGACCGAGGAGACGGGGAAATCCCTGTCTTCGATAGGTCGAAAGTCAAAGTCAGAGGAGACGGTGTACGAGTGTCGAAATCAAAACTGTCTTCCAGAACAAAATGAAAATCGGTCGCGAGATCACTCTGCATTCTTGTCAGAAACTTCAGGAAGATATGACAGCTGGAAAGCGCCATACCAGAGAAGAGTCTTTGCGACCTTGGCTGCGAAGAGCGTAGAGGTTGGAAGAGACCATTAGGTGTCGCGTTCAAAGTTTGTTAGAAAAGGAGTGGAACGAAGCGAAGCACAGCTAGGCAGAGAAGGTGTTGTATTGGAGAAACGATACTGAAATGCAACAGCGGCATCGTACTTTATACCAACCCGAAAGACACTAATGATAGCAGACTCCTGACAAGAGCAGATTGCTTAATTTGTGAAATGCGACGGGTAGGAGAAACAACCTGCGTACCTGATCGCAGGCGCTAATGGTGCTGAGAACGTCCCAGCCACAGCCTGCCGAAGGAGATACCGTTACGACCTTCGGCCATCCTCACCACCTGCTGAAGCAGATGCAACCCAGTCTTGGCTTCTTCAGCCTGTTGTTGACCCAGGATGTATGCCGAGTCACGGAAACCGGGCGCATATTCCCGAGCAGAGGCCTCGAGATCGGGTTTCCACTTGGAGACTCTACGGAGGTTTATCCGCGATTGTTCATGGTTTCTCAAGAGAGATAGATTGCGCGTCACTTGATGCGGGAGGCCACGAGACACAGAGGATGTGAACAACAGAGCCAACGACTTGTCAACTGTTGACCAAGAGATGAGCCAGAAAAGAATTCTTTGGTTCCTCAGGCAACATACTGCGCAAATTCCAAGTGCGTAACCATAGTTCAAGCTCGTTCACTTCCTTCACAGGTAGATTGTCATTGTCTAGTCGACGAATGACCCGCGCTGCATCTTCGAATGTCAATCTCCATAGTTTTCGTAGATTCCGGGTTGCTCGAGGCTGGTGAAGCACGGCTGCAGATGCGGTCCGAAGAAAGAGACGGTAGGTGCTGGTGAAGTGGGGAGGCAGTGGCATCCGCCCAATGTGGCGGTGTGACGTAGCATCAGCCATCATCTTGCCTCTCGATTAGCATGACCACCTCGTTCAAGAACCGCAATTTGCTTGCGGTCATTGGGGACGAGGTACTGTGGATGCGCATTTCACACAATTTTACAGCTCAATGTCTCAAGGACTCGATTACTGGCTTACTTCTCGCTGGCATTGGACACATTAATGAAAACCAGAAGAAGAACTTTCTCGTCGTAGACTCCAGTCTGTGCCATTTCTCGGTGGTTCAGCTGTTTTGACGAACGGATTCAGAGACACAAGTTTCCACCATCGAGGCTGCGTTCCAAGAGTTCACAGAGAGGAAGGATATTGCGATTCTGCTAATCAACCAGCATGTTCGTTGCTCTCGGACTCACTCGCCCTCGTGTCGTGCTCTAACGCCGCGTGTTCAGATAGCGGAGAAGATCCGACCCACCGTAGACCGTTATCAGCAGGCATTCCCTTCGTTGCTTGAGATCCCTTCAAAGGATCACCCCTATGGTACGACCACAACTCATTTCATATGCAACAGTATAACAAATCGGGCATATAGATCCCTCGAAAGACTCCGTACTTAAGCGCGTCCAAAAGCTATTCGGGGAATAGATTATTGGGCTATACTGTCGGACATTGTACTACTAATACATTTGAACTGCAATAATCCCTAGTCTCGGGGTGCGGGCGGGCATTCAGGAATTCCATCGTAGGACGGGCTCGTTGTCCCTTACACCTGGTGTTCGTTCGACAAACACCCGGAGTGGATTGCGTGATCGCGAATCTAGTCGATCGGTCAGGCAAGGCAAAGAAAGAGCGTAGCGCGATCAGACACGCACTAGGAAGCTCTACGATGATGTATCGAAGTACGAATTCGTCGTGATTGTTCTGCAAGAATATAGGCATATGTCATCACTTCTGGCTGGGACGAAAGAGCTCACTTTGACGAAATTCACATGAACCTCCCCTTCGTTGAATGTCCTCGTGTCCGTCTTCTGTTGCAGCACCGGCTCAGTCCCCCCTCCGCGAGATCGTCGTAGCGACGAGAACATGCCCATGAATCCCCCACTCGGCTGATCGTCGGTTTTCTCGGCCTTGTTCTCAACGGTCCAGATGTTGGACGAAGGCGTAAGAGGCGACTCAGTTCCGCTGAGGAACTTGAAAGCATCTTTGCATCGATCCCATACACGAACAGCCCAATCTTGGCCGGCAGAAAGGATTTCTTCCGCGTTCATTTCCGGAACACGGGACAATTTATCTTCAGCCCATATAGACAACGATTCGGAGAAAGACGGTTTCTGAGGTTCGGCTTGGAGGTAAAAGTTGAGAAACATGTGCTCGCGTCCCGTCGCGTCGACGCGAATGGCAGAGTTGACGTGCCGATTACGGTGTCGTGGCCGCACGCCAGCGATGGGAGGGTCAACATGGAAACGTGGAACTCCGTCAAGGTGTTTCGCGAGCTAGAGGACAAGAGTTGAGATCCTGTTCGTGACACCAAGTAGAAAACTGACCCTCGGAGAGCTCTTGATTCTTTCGCAGGCATCGTCGTATAAAACAGACGGGGAGTTTTTGGAAAAGAGCTCCGAAGTCAAGCAGTAAATGAGCACGGCGGACAACCCTGCACCGACGACAATCACGGTAAGGTTGGTCGTGCGAGCAGTCGTTCTTTTGACTACAGAGACTAGATGACACGCAAGCATAGCAGTAGGGCGACTGACGCACCTTTGCCCGCTGTGCTCAACTCTGACCACTTCGGAGGAGGTTTTTCAGCCGATCGAGCAGGTTGACCGAGGCCCAGACCGAGTTGAAACGGTCCCTTGTCTTGACTAGACGAGTTTTGGTCCAAAGATTGCGAAAGGATGGACGGCCGTGCGGCAGAACTAGTCTTGTGTGTCGAATAATTTCTCCATCCTGTCAACAACTGCCTGCGACACGATAGTCTGCCGCAGAAATTGACGACGCGAAAAGACATGGAGATTCACTCGAGCCCAGAGGAACAATGGAAGGCTGGCAAATTTCTGATACAATGCGGGGTTCTGACCCTTGAGTCTTCGCGTTCTTCGATGTTACCAGTCGAAGGGTGTGAGCCTAAACAAACTAAGGCAAACGTTGATCGTCCATCATTAGGCCACATTCTTTCTCGGATCGTTGACGTTGCTCAAGCCCAACCGACGTTGCGGGGGATTTCGAGTCTCGTCTAGACGTACGTAACCTCAAGCTCGTCTTTCTGGAACTCTTCTCGAACCGGCTGTCTTCTCCCTAGGTTCTTCTGCTGCACAGTGACGATGCCCTCCTTTTTGTCCAAGGTTTTTGGGGGCGGAGGTCGTAAGAAGGATTCTCATGGCGAGACGTCGAGGAAAGATGGCAAGACTTCTGCCCCAGTCCGACCCCCTTCCCAAGCGTCGTTGCTGGAAGGAAAATTCGAAGCCGTGCCTCCCGTGATCACACCCATTACAACTTCGTTCGACTTGCCATCTGCTCGCAAGAGTTCCAACGGTCGCAACCTCGACTACCATCTCTCTCTCAACCTTCCCGGGCCCAAAGAATCACCTACCCGTGCTTTGGGTGTAGTATTCGAAACCGACCCTGAATCTCAGATACAGTTGGCCGACTCTGCGGTCGGCGAAGGTCGTTTGACTCCATCGGAAGCGTTGTTACTCATACAAGCATGCTCACAAGCTATCACTTCGCGTGGTCTCGAGACGCTAGGAATCATGATCCCGCATTGGTATTCTGCTTCCCCGGAAGTTCAGCAGAGGCTGATCACGCTCTTCATCCAATCCGTGAGGACGGCATCACCGATCACCGCACTCTCTCCGTCTCCGCCCTCCCCGGTGACGGCGTTCGAATCTGAGGTCGATTCGACACGTCCGCACGATGTTGCAGCAGTCCTCCGATGGGGTCTGCGCCATCTCAGTTTGGACAACTCAACGTTTGGCAAGGACGAGGGGTGGTACACTCAGTTCCTCAACAACGAGCGAGCAGCGAACTATCCGCCGAAAGCATTCTCGGACAAGCTCGTGCCTCTCTTGCCGCCTGCACATCTCCATGTGCTCGTCGCATCGCTCGAGTTGTTCTCGAGTCTCGCGGCCCACTCGGAAGCCAACAGGTCGGTTTCCTATTGTCTCATGATGATCAAATGAACGCGTCCAATCCTCCATTAGTATCTCCGGAAGCAAGTTGAGCAAGATGTTCGGCCTTTGGATGCTCTCTGCTACCCGAGCATTGGACGGAGACGACTATCCGGCTTTCTATGCGCGCTGGGAGAAATGGGGTCGGATAATGGAGCACCTCTTTTTGGCAAGGATAAGGTTCGCCCCATAAAGCGCACCGAAATGTCTCTTAAATAACCCGATATCAATAGGGACGACGCCATTGACCGCCGTCAACCCACACGACTCGCGGAGCTGGTGAAACATTACCCCTTCACCAAATCTGGATCCCCGACTGTTGATTCGGCGTTCCTTCCTGTTCCGAGATTTTCGACTCGTCATTTCGACGCTTTGTACCTCGTCGTTGAAACCGAAGCGCCCACGGGAACCTCCAGCCAGGCGAAAAATCATCCTCTTCGGCTGATTGCGGATGCACTCAAGGCGTCTACGACGGCCATCACCTCTGAGCAGACTTCTTCCAAGGTGGTTCTGTGGGAGACATTCAAGAGGCACATCTCGGTCGCAGATACGGACTCGGACTCGTATCCCGGGTTGAGCAGCCTGTTCTCAGATGAAACTATCCGTTTCCTTTCGCTGATTCCTATGTTGTCGGAGTCATCATCGAAGTCCTCCACGCCGTTTACTATCAGTCTGCCTCAAGTGGGGCGCCGCCGGAGCATGTCACTAGGTGCTCGGGACCAAGCCAAGGCCGCGCTGGCCAATTTGCATGCGAGAACGTCATCGGTCGCATCCACTGCTCAAGATTCCCCGGTTCCAAGTCCTGCCGCCGACGGCGTCGGGTTTGACTGGGCGTCCTTTTCCAATTCTGGATTCTTTTCCGACGACAGCCAGTTCCCGGGATCCAAATTGGCTGCATCTCTGTTGGATAACCGTGACGTCGAGGTCACGGCTCCTCCGAGGCGGTCCAACTCTAAGCGTAAGATTCCACCTCCGCTTATTCCACTGCCGTCCTCGCGAGGGAAGAGTCTCGATCTTCCTTCGCCGGACGGGACACCACCGCAAACCGCTGTGAACCCATCGGCTACAGCTGACAAAGTGGCCGCACCGACAAAAGGGAAATCCAGAGTGTCCAAATTGGAGATCGTCGAACTTGACGAGGCGTTCGTTGACTTTTGGACCGATGCTCTGTTGGATCCCATCTCCGCAGGCTGGCCCAGTTTCATCGTCGCCAAGATCAAGCCCTCGGTTCCGGCTGAGGTGGATGGCAAGAAGATTGGGTGGCTAATCGTCGAGCAGCGCTTTAGCAAACCTGCCTCTCCGCCCAAGGTTACCATTCCGCCGATAGAGAAGCAAATCTCCTCGTCTCCTTCTATGGCACCTACCCACTCGAGTTCCCGGCCCAACTCACCTCGTCCATCAATTGGATCCGAGTCCAAGGCATCCAAGAAGAAACGCTTCAGCTTCTTTACGTCAATTAGCAGCTCCTCCGTCACTTCGGCGACTTCTGGTAAGAAGAGAGCCGCCACTGGACCAGGGTCTCGGGTCAAGGTCGGGGAGATGGGTGAAGTCCTGCAGGAGGAAGAGGAAACCCCATCTTCGTCGTCTAAGACAGCGGGTATCGTCACTGGGGCCGCCGCTGCCGGGGCTGCTGCCGTCGGTGGTGCTGCTGCCGTCGCTGCTGCCGTCGAATTGTCTTCCAAATCAGAGGCTTCGCCGCCTGTGGCTGGTGCGTTTTGATATCTGGCATTGCATCGCGTCCTGGTCAACTCAAGTTATACACAGCACTCGAGGAACCCGTCTCTGCTCCAGTGGATCGTCTAGCGGCCCCAGCGGAGACTGCCGCCCCTACTGAGCCCGAGCCGGCCGCCGTCGTGGCTCAGGCGCCCGCTGATGTCGCTCAAATACCAGCGTTGGGAGAAGAGGAAATCGTTCCTACCGAGGAATCCGCCTCGGCCGTGGTGGCACAAGATCCTGAGCCAGTCGGTGCAACTGGTGCTGCAGCAACAGAACAGGTAGACTCGGAGCCTGCACTTGAATCTGCGCCCACTATCGAAGCTGATGATCAAACTATCGTTGCGGAGGAACCACAGCCCGTCATCGCTGAAACGCCGGCGGATCACGAGCCCATCGCTCCTGTGGCCGTGGCCGAGGAAGCATCTCCAGAAGCAGAAGTTGTGGCCGCCGAGCCGGAAGAATCCGTCGCTGTCCCCCTTCCTGAGGCACCCGCCGACATCGAAGTCGCTCCCATCGTCGAGGAAACTGCCGCTCAACCAGAACCAGAGGTTCAAGCACCCGCTGCTGAACCAGAACCCGAAGTTCCAGCGGTGGAGGCTGCGTCCCTCGGGGATGAGGGTGCGATTGAGTCGGAGGCTACTGTGGATACCGTCGAGGATGCCCCGGAGCCGGTGGCAGCTGTGGATGTTCCTCTGGCCGAGCCTGCCATTGACGAGCCAACGGTGGTCGATGAACTTGCCGCTGAGGAGTCTGCTGTGGTCGAGTCTGAAGTTGTTAAGCCCGAAGTCGTGGAGCCTGAGGTTGTCGAACCCGAAGTCGTCGAACCCGAAGTTGCCGAACACGAAGTTTTCGAGCCTGAAATCATCAAGCCCGAAGTCGTCGAGCCTGAGGTCAGCCAGCCGGGTACTGTGCCATCTGCAGTCGAAGATCCCGTTGTCGACACGGCACCCGTCGAGTCGCACGTCCCTGAACCCGCAATCGAGCAGCCGACAATCGAGGAACCTGCAGTCGCCCTGGCACCCATCGAGACTGACGTCGTCGAGCCCGCGGTTGAACAACCGATAGTCGAGGAGCCCGCAGTCGAAGAGGCTGCCCCTGCCGAGCCGGCGCCAGTCGAACCTGTGGCCGAGGAGCCTGTAGATACTGCGGCTGTTGTTCAGCCCGTAGTCGAAGAATCGGCAATCGAAGAGCCCGCAACCGAGGAAGCGGTATCTTTCGAAGCTGAACCTGCTGTTCACGACATTGCTGTTGCCGATGAGCCTGTGATCGAAGACACGGCTGTGGTTGAGCCCGCGACCGAGCCTGTTGTTGCTGTTTCCGAGCCGGAGGTCGAGCCTATTGTTGCTGTTTCCGAATCGGCCGTCGAGGAACCTGCTGCCGTCGACCCTCCAGTTGTCGAGGAATCTCCAATTCCCGAAGAATCGGCCTCCACCGAGGAACCTCAAATTGTTGAGCCTCTTGCCGTCGAGGAGACTAGTGTTGCCGAGCCTGTCGCTGTCGAAACGCAAGAGCCAGAACCAGAGTCTGCCATCGTCGAGAGTGAGACCGTCGAGCCAGCTCCTCCAGTGGTCGAAGACTCTGCCCCAGAAGCACCAGCCGTTGCTGATTCAAAGCCAGAGGAGCCAGTGATACCCGATCCAGTTACGGAGGAGCATGTTGTCGAAGCTGATACTACGGTTGGAGACGTGCCCCCTTCGGAGCCCTCTGTTGTCGAAGAACCGGCGCCTCAAGGATCTCCAGAGGTTTCCGTCCCTGAGGCTGAACCCACTGAAGTAATCAAACCGATAACAGAGGCTGCTCTCGAAGAGGCTGTTCCAGTGGAGGAGGCAGCTCCAGAGGTGGAGGAGGCGACAATAGAGCCCGCCGTTGAAGAGCCTGTTGTCGAAGAGCCTCCTGCGGTGGCTGAGCCTGAAGCAACACCTGCCTCTGAAGCTGCGGCACCTGTGGAACCCCAGTCGGTTGTGGAACCCGAGAGCATCGCAGTTGAACCCACTGAGCATGAGGTTGGTCTCAAGCAAAACCATCCCCGCCATAAACTGACATCAATCCAGGTTGAGTTGCCGACCAAGCCTGTGCTCGTAGCAGTCGACAGCCAGTCGTCTATCGAAGAAGCCCCCGTCTCCACTGAACCTGTCCCCGATCACACCGAGCCTCTCCGGGAGCCAGAATCTGCCAACGACGACCTGGTCGCCTTGCCCTCTGTCCCAGTGGTCGAATCTCGTCCCGATCTCGTTCGTGGAGAGACTGTCATCTCCCATCTAGAGTTGACCCCGGCTCCGAGTGTGGCTCAGGTGACTGAGAATCACGAGAGTATGCTCTCAGCTGGCGAGACGCTGGGTCCAGCCGCTTCATTGGACGTGGCGGAACCGGAAAAACCAGGTGAGCAGTCAGTCTTTTATCCGCGTTATTATATCAATGAAGGTCTCAGAAAATGAACATGTACCTGCGGATATCTAATACCCCCTCACTACTAGTATCTACTCCATCTAGGCACTGACGACATTCACTTCCTCAGCTCACTTATCATCTCTGCTTCCGTACATATTCATTTTGGATCTGGAATACCCTGCCTGTACTCACCATGGATGGCCAAAGACGGATGGTCTGGTCGATATCTACTCGACATCTGCGTACACACTCATTAATACCACTATTAGCTTGTAAATGTTCACGCCGTCGTGAAATCCTCCAAACGAGCTACGACGCTTTGTTTTAGCTGTGAAAAACGGTCAGTACGCGCCTGGTGATCACTGGCATAACGTACAGGAGGGCTAGCCCCGGCGCCAGCGAAGTAATAGAGCACCAGCTGGGTCGCAACCCAGGTATTCTGGACCGAGCCCAGATCGCGGAATATGATCGACCGCGGCGCACCGAGGACAGGAGGAGGGACGTATACATCCAGACTGTCCTGCTTCGTGAGCGGTGTATTCGGGAATATCGTCTTGAGCGTGCGCATGGGCGCCGCAACGGCCTGCGCGTCCGCCTCCGTGAACGCCCCGCTCTTGCGCTCCTGCGCCAGGCGGCCGGTCAGGGCGCGCAGGAACGCGTCGCGGAGGTGCGTGTACGACGTCGTGCGGGTGGGGATGATGCGCAGCAGGCACGCGCTGTTCGCGACGATGTGCTCGATCTTCTCGTCCGGCGTCATCGAGGCTGTGATGCGGAGCGAGGGCGCGGAGAGGTCCGCGTACCATGCGACGGAGTAGACCTTGATGCCGAGGAAGGAGACGGTGCGCACGCCCAGGCCGACCAGCGAGAGCGTGGGGGTTTGCGCGGAGGGCGCGGAGGAGACGGGCACGTTTTGCAGACCGGAGGCGAGCGGTAGGGAGGGGAAGACACCGGGCGCCCTGATGCTACGCGGGAAGCCGATGTTCGTGGCTGGATCGAGGACGAGGTCATTGTCACTATCCAGGAAGGCTGTTCGGCGCGGGAGCAGTGCGTACAGTCCCAGTCCGGTCAAGGCGGCTATTCGGCGCGAGTTGGCGCGCGCCCATGCGTAGGAAGCCATTCGAGGGAAATTGAAATTAGAGACAGACGGAGAGGAACGGTCGAGGCCTTTGGTTCTGTTTTCCGACTCCGAATAGATTTCTTTTTTGGGCTTCGATGAGTTCCGAGTCGGCAACTCAGCCATGGACGGTATGTACGCGACAGTCCTCGATAACAGATTCAACGACAGAGCTATGATCTAGATTGAGAAGAAGCCACTAAATAAAGTCCCCGCTCCGTTTGCCGGCAGTCTCCTCCTCCCAACGACATATCGTGGTGTTGGAGGTAACAAGAAGGTCTGGGAACTGAATTTCGAGATTGCGGCAACTGAGAACTGCTGCAGATCTCTGTGTGGAAGGGCGACGACTTGAACCACATTCTCTTCGAACACTACGCAGAAGTGGTGGTGGGCGACCAACCCGGGATCAACTACATCGACGTGAATGCCCTCAGTGCAAAACGGTGCGCATTCGTCATCTGCACGGGTGTTCGGTAGAAGCTCATACTACTCGGTGCAAGGCACGAGTATCTCGGCCCGAGTCCCTTCGTCTCCGGATTCCGATTTCAGGCGCGTCAGAAGGTGATCGATGTCGAATGGTACGACGAGTTCTTGCGAACGAAGTGGATTTCAGGAGAAACATAGACGGACGTTGGTGTGCACATAGATTCTGAAATGGTTGGAGGGGTAGAACAAGCTGGTTGCATTGTCCATGTTTGGATTCTACTCGGACCCTCGGACATCTCTTGCTGCAAACGCCAATAATCCGACTCGACGTATTGCCTATGGACTCATTCGACATTCGAGACTCCGCTTTGGGGTCAAGACCTGCATGATTATGCGCCAGCCCTGTAGCGGGATTGAAGGGTCATATGCTAGCCAAAAAACCCTTACCACCAGTTCTCGAGAATACAACCTTGATCAGCCTAGGACTTGCGCACGCGACGCGGGCAGCTGCCATCCACACCTGCAATGTTAGGCATAATACTAAACAGCGCGTTCCATGTGTCTCATGGCGATGTCTTTGTCCCAGAGCAATGAATGGGGGAAATGCGGCACTCACAGAGCGTGACTGCCATGACTGCACTCTTGATAAGATACAGAAGAATCAAGCCATTGCACGAACTTGACAGTCTGGTGCTCTCTGTGGGCGAGAGTCTCACTAGCTCTGAATGTGCATTCTCCAATCCCATCCGCGGGTCTCACATTCTCGGGGCGTACATATACCAGATGCCTCCCGCACAGGGACCTCCACCCCAGCTTGCATTCTACTTTCATCTGCTCCTCCCCGAGTCGAGCCATTTCCGATTTGCCCTATCTATTTCTGCTTGCATTTGCCTTCGCCTTCTTGTCGCCGGTCGCATTTTATCTTATCCTTCAACTGAAATCATGATGCACTCTACTCTGGTTGCTTCCGGTGTTGCTTGCCCCTATGTTGTATGTTGTCTCAGTTGTTCCTCGACCATGACTATAACCCCACTTCGACAGATTACAGAGTCTGAGAAAGAGAAGGAGGAGGCTAAAGCTATGGTCCAGATGGTATGCAACATCTAGCCTCAAGACGATCGCTATTGCTAATCCTTCGAAGCGTCCTGCGAAGCTCAGAGTCATTCCGCGCACGTTGAAAGTCACATCGCCGTTGGGTCTGTATCCGCCGATCAACGCCGACTGGCTGCTCGAGGGTGAAAGCGTTCTCGATGAGCAGGTGTGTGGTGAACGTCGCAGCGCGAGGCTCGCTCATATACTGATCTCCTCAGCAGCAGTCTGTAACGTTCTACAGAGTGGCCCGCACCGTCGACCCCCCTGTCACTGGTCTTGTCACAGTCATGACTGCGGAGAGGGACGCCTCTTCGTTTGTCGGCGCGGAGGGGGACGCCCTTCCGTCGCCTGACCTGACCTCACCACCGACATGGGCTAGCCTGGTGGGCTGCAATGTGTCCTTGACTGTTGAGTCAACTGGCTGTATTTCAGGCAGTCCCGGTGCTTGTATCAACAACGCTTCGTCGTCGATGGAAAGCGATACTCCGGCGGTTTGTGTGGCATCTTATCCTTCATACGAACTGGAGCTCTCGGAAGTATCAGACGAGTCACGAGATATTCATGTGACCGCGTCGTGCGAGGAGAACAGCGCGATGTCATCATCCGCTGGGCTGTATAACATCACTGCATCCGTTGCCTGCCAGGATCTACGGTCACTCTCAAACGGGCCGGAAATTGTGCGGGTCACAGCGTCTGTTGCTTCGTTCGTGGATTCTGAGGTACAACATTTGCGGCCACGTGTGTCCCAAGTACGTGTTTTTTCTCTGTGTGTCGCATCGCTGACACTCTTTCCTGTCTCTTCCAGGCTGCTCCTTTCCATGATTTTGTCACGGGATCTGTCACTCCATTGCCTCAAGTACAGTCTACTCCGGGAGCTTTGTTGTCACTGCCTTGCTTCAAGAATGTCTATGGAATTGGTCTCGGTAGACCGCCCCAGTCTTCCTTGCCTCTTTCATCTCAACCCATTGGCTTGTCTGCTGTTTCGAAAACTCACATCCAGCACTCTTCTACCACAGGACGGGGGAGATCTACAGAGGTGAAACGACTCAGGCATTCGCAGGTCTGCCCAGCGCATCCAGCCGCTCGGGACACGCTCAAGGTGCATCAGGCACCTGTGAGCATCCAGAAAAACTCGGCTGCATCCCCGTCGTCCTCGTCCGCGTCCCTGCTTTCTCTAACGTCGCGACTCACGGATCCGATTTCGCCTGTCGATGGCACTGGCGTGGCCGCCTCCGTGTGGGCCGCCCTGCCCCACTGCAAAGCCAACGAGAAAGCGCGTCGACCCTTTGTGGGCAGCGGAAAACTCAGGCGGATGACAACAACCGTAGGTACGAATGTCTGGTCCGCAGTGAGACGTGTCAGGACCTTGTTTTAGTTAATGTGTGGGTCAGACGCATTCTACTTCGATTCTTGTTTGGGATACCCTGTCTCCTCAGTTTCATTACCTTGTCTTGTCTGTTCATATACCTGCTAGTTATACCAGTCGTGGATCAATCGAAATCTTATAGTTCTGTCTCGTGCATTTCCCTGAGAAGTGGTATCTGAGGCACAGCCACTCGATCTCCCTTGTTATGGACATCATCGACTTGCACCCACCGGACGACTACAGCCATAGATTCTTCATCTGGCACGAATGGATCCAGGTCTCTAATCCTCTGCGATGCATCAAAAACGCCACTAAACTTCTCGGAAATCTAGGCCAACGGACCTTTGAATGCAGAGAACGTGTTCGAGTACTTCACGACGTCGATGTTCTACGACAAGCAGAGCAATAATCAGGTGCTGCGCATGCAAACTATGCACACGGGGACGGCTATTGCGAATGAGGCGGAGGAACTCAAGTGCGTGCGTGTTCAGGCGACTCGAGAGCAAGGAGTTCGTTGACACTGGCCTTGTTTGCAGGCGGTTCACTGGAATCGAATTTGCGGTCGTGGATTCTCAGCCGCCATCACTTTTCATCATACATAAACGCGAAAGGCTGTCGCCTGATCAAGGTGCCCCAAGTACTGTGCCCCTCAGTGGCTTGGAAGCTGACCTGCCCAGTGCGACCACTCGTCGCGTACTTCGTCATCAACAACAGGATATATCAATCGCCCGACGTGTATACATTACTTTCGAATCGACTCGTGAGTCTTCTGCCATAAAATATTGCATCGCCCTGACATCGGACGTTTCCAGCTCACTTCGCTCAGCGCGCTGCAAAGTTCTCTAGACACTCTGCGCGCTCGACGGCCAGACTATCTCCCGCGCACGGGCTTCATCTGGCCCATAGTCGACACAGCGTCTCAGATCAAGAAGAAAGCCGCGGCAGCGTTAGACGAAGGCGCAGATGAAACAATGGGCACGGAGCCGCCCCCTGCGGACGAGATGCCCGCGGAGGACAAGCCCAAAGTCGCGGCAAACAAGCTGCAGAACAACATGCTTCTTCTCAATGCGATGCGCGCCACAGCGCTGCACTCAAAGACGGCATTCTCGGCGCACATCACGGAGGCTATCGCTGAGCCGCCTGTGGGCTCGGAGGCGGCTGGAGCGCACTCACAGGCTTCGACCGCACCGGTGGCCAATGCGAAGACACCAGCTGCGGCGTCCACGCCCACACCCGGTGGCCCGCAGGATCCGCCAACACGTTCATTGCCCGGTGCGGGCAAGAAAAAGCGGAAGCGGACGTTGGCTGCAGCGTCCCCGACATCTTGAATAATGTGGTTCATTCATCGGATATTCTACATCGCACGTCCACTGGTGATCTTACTCGTCAACCACCCGATGGGAGACTTCAAGTTGCCGCCCCGGGATCCTGTGCCTCCTACTCCGATGCCGAGGGACAGTGGATTGGCGGATGAAAACGACTCTTTTCGTAGTTTGGAGGCCGTTTGGACTGTGAGGAGCGTGTTGGGTGTCTTGTTGTGATCTGGATAGGGAAGGAGCGTACCCGCATTGTCGATCTCTTCCACATTCGTTTCGAGCACGAGACCGCCCTGTATTATCTCAGCCAGGATATGATGTACCTAGATACACGATGAGCTGGTTGAGCGCAACAAACCGTTTCAAGAGAATCCGGGTGTGCACACCTCGTCGAATTGGAACACCAGATCCAGCTCGCACACGTTTTCGAAGGCGCGATCGAGGGACTCGACGAAGACCTGAATCAAATCTAGGATGCCCAGCTCGCTTTCCGCGCTATCGACGACGAAGACGAAGTGCAGCGTCGCATAGCTGCGGTACACGACGCGCCAGCGCTCATCCTGCTGCTCCTTCGGTGCGAGATACGCATCGAGCTCTGGGGCTTCGAGAAAGTTGCAGAGATTGGGGGGCCGGGAGCAGATGAGGGAGAAGATCTTGGGCACGAGCGTCTGTGCGGACTGCCGCAGCGGGGTGTAGAACTTGGTTAGTCGCGCGACGCCCGCGGTGTTGACTGATGGGGTTTCTGAGCGATGGGGTCGCGTTACAGCGCTGAGACGCACAAATGAGGACTGCGTGGATCATAGCGACGTCGCCAAATCACATCCGTTGAGCTGTGGTGCACGGCGGAAAGCAAAGTACAGATTGGTGACGTAATAGTACGTATGTAATGCTATCGGTGAAATGTAAAATACACTCACGACTCATCGCGAGGAAACTGCCAACCCGATTCCAAACGACTGGCTAACGATCCCACAGGCCCTGACAGACCTGCCTGACTCTTGAAACTTTCCAGGAAGTTTTTGATCAAGTTATAATCCATCGGCTCCTCTTCGTCATCTTCATCGCCGTCTTCCCGCAGCAGAGCTGCTCGTAACTCGCTGTCCATGGCAGCGTTTATGTCATCCATTTTCTCGTCCTCGTCTGCAACAGTCGCTTTTTGCTTGCCCTTCCCTTTGTCCTTTGATGACGACGCAGACTTTTTGGACGAACGAGAACGCGAAAGCTCCTCGTCCATGGCGATCATGACCGCCTCGAACGAGTCCAGATTCGGATTGACATTCGGACGAGGCCCAGCTTCAGGCAATTTTTCAGGGCGTGGTTGAGCAGCGGGCTTCGGTGGATTGATGTTAGATTTGGCGGGGACGTGAGTGCCCTCTGGGACAAAAGCTGGATGCAGCACATCAGAGAGTACCAAAGGCGGCAACATCAGATGGCGTACCTCCTCTGCTTTTGCGGTCGCGCAAGATGTCGCCCCACTGTTCGTCGGTGATCCCAAGGCCTTACGAGAGAACTCGAGAAATTCGTCTTCCTCCTCACCCATGTCAACTTCGATCTCACCGACGACCTGAGGTCGGTCTTCCTCTTCCTCTTCCTCGTCGCCGTCATCAGCAAGTTCCTCATCGGTGTCGTCGTCTGAATCTACCCCATCGAACTTGTCTCTCGGGAGAATGGGCTCTCGGATAGGTTTGGATTTGAGCTCGTCTTTGGAGCCTTCAGCTGGAGCGGGTTCGACCACAACCTCTGTTTCAAGCGTCGCTTGAGCCACACGTTGGGAGTTCGCGTGGAAGCTGGCTGGCATTTGGCCATATTCAGAAGGCTCGAGACCTGGCACTAGCTTGTCCATGGCTGCATTGCGTGCATTTTCGTCCATCTCCTCGTCGTCCGAATCCGAGTCGGGCTCGTCAGTCAGCTCCTCCTCCTCCTCCTCTGACGACATCTCGCTGCGCAGAGTCATTAAAGAGGGACAATGAGATTACTAGGAGCTTACTCGTCAAAAAGTGCACCGTCTAGGCTGCCTTGACCTTCGACAAATGCTTCCACCTTAGAGGCAAGATCCTTCAACTTGTCTGCTTGTTCTGAAGCAACACGATCCTCGACAGCCGATCTTTCTGGTGTGTCGACGTCCATCGCAGTAGCCGTTCCCGTTGTCCTGCTCACATTCCCTCGAAGTCTTTGGCATCGATGTTGAGCCAGTCATCGCTATCTTCGTACAAGGGTGTACTTGTAGTTCTCAGAGGTTTAGCAAGAGACGCGGCAACCTGGGACGCAAATGATGGCCGTGAAGCATCACTACAGGATAATTAGCAACGAAATCTCACTGGTACATCCGTACGTACTCCTCCCGCTGCGACTTCAGATATTCCTTGGCTGCTTTGTTCTCGAGTTCATTCCAGAGTTCAGATCCCTCGATCTCTCCCTTGAAAAAGCCGACAGATACGAGTGTCTGGATGTATTTGGCGTAGCCAACATCGCGTCGAAGGGCCTCTTTCCTTGCCACCAGCTGCACTTAAGGTGAGAAGGAAGTAAAACCGTGCCACATGAAAACTTGCCCATGAGGAATCAGCGCTGGATTCTGACTCAAGTTTTCCGATTTGCCTTTGCTTTCCTGATAGAGCATTTCGAAACCCACAGCCTAAAAAAGCGTGAAAAGAGTGTTACCATCCCGTCTCATGAGAGGCGCACAATCTTTAATCCTGTGTCTCTCCATCTCCATTCATCGGAGCCTTCGGAGACCTTCCATTGGCCGAATATTTTCGGCGGAAAAAACTTTTGGCCGACGAGCTGAGCGTAAGCGGTACGGGTCATTCTCACGGTGGTCAACTCGGACGGCTGTGGGGGGAACCGCGTCATCCGATGCGCAGCCTAGAAAGGGTGTCAGGGACCTTGGTGACAGTTCGAGTTCATCACAACCCACCCGCAGTTGCATTGCATCCGCGTGTAGAACGTCTCGATCGGTTTCTGGATGAGAGCGGGATCCCCAGCCAGGGTCGGCTGATATCGACCGGCAGGTACGCCTTTGTCGAGTGCACGTGACTTGCAGCGGCAGCAGGATATCTGACAAGATGTGTGACTAAGAGTGGCAAGCGATGTGAGCAAGACCGCCATTAACGCGCGTCCAGACAGCTTTTTGACGGCGAGCGAGGCGACCGTG